ATGATTGTAACTACAAGAAGGGCTCGGCTAATACTGACTAAAGATAACAGTGACTGGAAACTAATACTTTGATGACGATAATTGTTATAACTACAAAACTGGTTGACACAGTGACAAAGACAAAGATGGATCTAGTGTGCCTCGAATAATACAGACCAAACAGTTCTAAAATGTTACATTTAACAACGGAAAACTAATCCTTATATTATAATGTCTGTGACTGCAACACCGACTCCACTAATACAAACTTAAGATGACGTTTTATTGAACCATAACTAATACTTGTATTGTAGCTACAAAACTGACCCTACTAATAACTATAACATGAAATTAATACTTATACTGGAACAACAAAAATGACCCTATTAATGAAATTTCGTAACCGTTACTATAAACTGATACGTATACTGCAACTACATTATAGACTATCAACAAAACTGAATAACTGTGATTTTAAACTGATACTTATACTGTAACTACAAAACTAAATCCATTAACGGAACTTCATAAGTGTGACTTGAAACTGATACTTATATAGTAACACCAAATCTGACACTAATAATGAAACTTCGTAACCGCGACTTGAAACTGATACTTTTACCGTAACTACAAAACCCACTCTATTAATGAAACTTAAACTGTGACTTGAGACTAACACTGCTACTGTAACTAAAAAACTGATTCCATTAAGAAAACCTCATGTCTGCGATAGTAAACTGATACTTGTACTTTGGCTATAAAACTGACTCCATTAAAAAAACTTTATAACTATGACTTAAAACTACTAATAATGCTATTGTAACTACAAAACTGACACCATTAATCAAATTTCATAACAGTGACTTGAAACTAATGCTTCTTTTGCACCAACGAAACTGACTCCATTAATAAATTTCATTACTGTGGCTCTAAGCTGATACTTATACTGTAACTGTAAAATTGCCTCTATTAAGGAAACTTCATAACTGTGACTTGAAACTGATGCTTATACTGTAACTACAATACTGACTCTATAATTGAAACTTCATAACAGTTACTTAAAACTGATACTTATAGCGTAACTGTAAAAGTTACTCTATTAATGAAACTATATAACTGTTGCTGTAAACTGATACTTATACTGTAACTACAATACTGACTCTATAATTGAAACTTCATAACAGTTACTTAAAACTGATACTTATAGCGTAACTGTAAAAGTTACTCTATTAATGAAACTATATAACTGTTGCTGTAAACTGATACTTATACTGTAACTACATTACTGACTCGATTAATGGATCTTCATAACAGTGACTTGAAACTGATACTTATATTGTAAATACAAAACTGACTCCATTAAGGACACTTCATAACTGTGACTAGATAATAATAATTATATTGCACCAACGAAACTGACTCCATAAATGCAATTTCATTACTCTTGCTGTAAACTGATACTTATACTGTAACTACATTACTGACTCGATTAATGGAACTTCATAACAGTGACTTGAAACTGATACTTATACTTTAACTATAAAACTGAATCTATTAATGAAACTTCATAACTGTGACTTGAAACTAATACATATATTGTACCAACGAAACTGTGAAACTATATATGAAATTTCATTACTGTTGCTGAAAACTGATGCTTATACTGTAACTACATTACTGACTCGATTAAACAGAAAACTTCATAACACTGACTAGAAACTGATACTTATATTGTTAATACAAAACTGACTCTATTAATGAAACTTTATAACTGTGACTTGAAAATGATACTTCTTTATACTTACAAAACATACTCCATTAAGGACACTTCATAACTGTGACTTGAAACCAATACTTATATTGAACCAACGAAACTGACTCCATACATGGAATACATACCTACTCCATTAATGAATCTTTATAACTGTGACTTGAAACTGATACTTATATTGTACCTACAAAACTGACTCCATTAAGAACACTTCATAACTGTGACTTGAAGCCAATACTTATATTAAACCAACGAAACTGACTCCATACATGAAATTTCATTACTGTTACTGTAAACTGATTCTTGTATTGTAACTATATTACTGACTCGATCAATGGAACAGTGACTTGATACTGATACTTAAACTGTAACAGTAAAACTGACTCATCATACATTAAATACACAATATTGACTACTAATTCAGACTAAAAAGACCCTAGACATTTTAATGAAGGATGTCGTTCTTAGAACTATCGCTAACTTGAAGATCTATAATTGATAATATTCTATGGGACATCATGCTTCTTATAGCACGAATATTGTTAAGTTATTAAATTCATATAAAAGAATTGTGGCTTGAAACTAATACTTCCATGACTAGACTGATACAGACTAATTATACCAAAGACCCTAAAGATAATGATATACTAAAAGAGATTAAATGTACACTGAAAGAATCTTTAGGGCTACAGCCTGAAACTAATACCTACGTAACAATGTGTCATTTTAAGGACTGATACATATTGACACATATATACTGATACAGACTGAATAGATTAAACAATTTTACCAACAGAAAATGTTTTTCAGGACAGACTAAAAAAAAACTATACGAATTACATCGCTTGTGACTTAAAGGAACTAATACTTTATTATAATTATTATTATAATATAATTATACCGACACTACTAATACTCAAACAGACCAAATACTCATACTTAAAACGCTTATTCAGACCAAATAGATTATCAGTCCTTCCTGAAAAGCACCAAGTAAACAAGATAAGTTGGCATTACTACGAAAATCTTTCTAACTATTTAACGACCAAGCCATTCGAGTGAAACTTTCTCCGTGGGACATTTTTTTCTTTCTCTCTCAAGAGTTGTAATGATGATGTTTAAAAGGTATCATATATTTTTTAGTTTTAGAAATAATTTAAGCACAATAATTTAAAAAAAAAACGGAGCAGCGTGTACGCTCGCCATTGTTCATAGGAATAGTACAATTTTTATTTTTTTTAATTGTTCTTTTCCTATTTTTATTCTTGATAGTTATATCTTGCATACATATATAATCATTTCAATTTTTTTTTTTAAATTTAATAATGTGCCATAGTTCATACCACCGTACGGATTGGGATTCAGATAATAGAGAACTGACAACGTGATAAATCTATCTCACTATATCACTTAACGTCACTAGAGAAATTTACGTACTGATAGAGTGACTGAAATACGACTTCATTTTTTTTTTAATTAATTAATATCATTTTTTATTATTTAAGACATTTTTATTAGAATTCTAACTATTTTTGATACAATGTGTTCAAGATGTAAAAATTAAATGATCTTCCCAGTAGTTCCTAGATATTAAAATGTATTTAAGCTCCATCCCATCTTATTGAACATTGTTATTTATTTCATATACATTCATTTTTTTTTTGTTATACTTTTATTTATTATATTTAAGATATTTATTTTGTATTTATTAATAAAAATATTGTAAAAATTTTAATGTTTATTTTCCTGGTACTGAACCCTTTCTCTTGATCCCACACAATGAACAAATGAAATTCTGACGCTAACTGGTAGATAAAATATCTCAGATTAAAAATTTAGTGTACTTTGTGAAAGTAAAGACGGTTGGTTGATATATGATCATATATTTGGGATGTTGTATCTATCTATCTATCATAAGATAAAGAAATCAATTGTTACTTTGTCGATAAATATAATCCACAAAGCAAGAGAAATTAATTTAAAACTTCATTGATATTTGGAACCAACATGTTTACAAATTTCAATAAGCTGTATCTTTGCTAAAAATTATCCGATTTCGATGATTTTTTTTTTCCTTTTGTAGAGAATTTAGTAATATTTTATATAATCATGGGCATGACCTAGGAAAAAGTGTGTATTTTTTTTTTTAGTTATTTGCAAATAAAGTTTCATTTCTTTCATAACTTGTTTGCCTGAATTTTCGGGGTGATTTGACTATTTTGCCCGCCTGGCTTGCCGATCAAAAACAGCATAGATAAATAATATAAACTCCTCCTCTCTCGATCATAGAGACCTCAAGTCGACGAAATGAGACATGTATTCAATGACAGTACTACAATTAACGTAAGGTTGGGTGAATGCGAACCCTATTTCTTGAGTTATCTCAAAAATAGTACGTTTTTGGGCTTAAAAACGCAGGATCCGACAGTTCCGGAGGAACTATCCGGGTCTTGCTGTACGCATCAAAATCTTCCACCGTTCCAGTATTGAAGCCAAGCAAAATGTTTGTATCGACTTTATTTATTTTAGAAAGAAAAAGAAAAGTGGAGAATATGATTCGCTAACTCTCCGTGAGATTCTGAATCCAACGGTATCCCATTCATGGTATTTGAGCATGACAGGAGCTTATATTTGGTACAAAACCAATTTCGAGCCTTACTGTAATAATGGATGTGGGGGATGGGGATACTAAAACACTGCATAATGACACAAATTCTTTCATATATCAAATATAGTTGCAAAAAATTTCTTCAAAGCGAAAATTCTTCTGAGTTTTTAAATTTAATTTTTTAAGGTTATGAAATGTCACTTAATGACTTTTTATAATTAACCATCGACGTACAAAACTAATGTTTCATAGATTAAACTAACTGTCTACTCATACAGTTATATTTAATTATTGATTTATTACATATTGCTTTAGATTATATTTTCGGTAGCTACATGAACGAAAAGATACTAAACTACATCTGCATTACTATAAACCTGCATTATAACCTCTATTTTTGTTATATATTGACGTTATCAGAAGAACAAAGAACTTATTTATAATTGTTAAATTGCCAGAACACAAAAAAGAAATCTATATTTAAAAAAAAAAATTGGTAACCAAGACAATTAGGGTTTATAATTTTTTTAATAACGGGCGGATATTTATATTTATCTTCTTAACAAACTATATTCGGAAAAAAAATAAAAAAACGCTGCTTGCTTTATTTGGCTCGCTCTAAAATTTATGTTCTTAATTGTTCAAAAACAATGTGAATAAAATTTCGCATAACACATGTTCCAGAATTTTGCTGTAAATCTCGCTGTTACAAAATCAACTTTAACAATATTCTCCCTCGGGTAAAAACACAGCGAAGGTATGTAATCAAGTGCAGCGTGAACCATACCTATGAATTTAAATGTGACGAGGTGAAATTTTTTTAAAGACTCCGAAGATAAAATTAGAGTGTCGGTGATTTTCATAATGTGGATGTTATTTAAAATGGGAAATTATAGCAGTGATCTGTTTTGCCTGAGAAGATGTCGCTGATTTCCTAATGTAAAGAATAAATCCAAAACCAGCAGCAGAAAATTATTTAAGGAAGAGCAACAAAACACACTAAAAGATCGTAGCGAATCTACAGGTAACTGGTTTATCATACATTTTGTCTTATCATTAGAATAATGGAGTGGTATATATATATTCATGTATATGTGTGTGTGATTTGACTATTTTGCCCGCCTGGCTTGCCGATCAAAAACAGCATAGATAAATAATATAAACTCCTCCTCTCTCGATCATAGAGACTTCAAGTCGACGAAATGAGACATGTATTCAATGACAATACTACAATTAACGTAAGGTTGGGTGAATGCGAACCCTATTCCTTGAGTTATCTCAAAAATAGTACTGTGTGTGTGTGTGTGTGTGTGTGTCTGTGTGTCTGTGTGTCTATGTGTCTGTGTGTCTGTGTGTGTCTGTATGTGTGTGTGTGTGTGTGTGTGTGTGTGTGTGTGTGTGTGTGTGTGTGTGTGTGTGTGTGTGTGTGTGTGTGTGTGTGTCTGTGTGTCTGTGTGTCTGTGTGTGTCTGTGTGTCTGTGTGTGTGTGTGTGTGTGTGTGTGTGTGTGTTTCCACATTTGTTTTTTAATTTGTTGCCCACTTGACTATTTAAAAGAAATAGTTGAAGATGGTTTAAAATTATAAACAAGGGATATGAAAAATTATTTAACTATTTACATATAATGAAAATCAGAAATTTATAATGGTTGTGAGGCCTAGGTAACCTAACCTATCCAGCAGTATGGTTAGTCTCCCCACTACTTTTACCTCAGCCCCCCCTCCACTTCAACTATTAAGTAATCAAATTGACATTTTGTTTAATCGAAAACACCTCCTTGTTTTGTGTAACTGGAGCTGGTTATCTTTACTGGTTAAAGACTAGCCTATAATTTATCATACCTCGGGTGTATAAGTGTATATGAAATCAAAGTTTTTTTTTTTTGTCTTTTTAGAACATGTTTATTGAGATATTACGATATATTACGATCTGTCTCAAAGGACATTTATAATAGTGTTCAGAGATCACATTCACACTCTATGTACAATAAATCAAAATAAATTAAACAGGAAGATAATGTATATAAAGTTTTTATCATATATGAATTAAGAAGTATATATTATTTACCTAGTCCTGTCATAAATATTGTTACAATGAAATATACACAAATTTCAACAGAAAAATTAATGTTTTTAAAAATTTTATTAGAAAATAAAATGTCTATCTATAGAGAGTAAAACAAAACAACAAAAAAATTACTCAAAATGTCCCCCTTCTGCCATGACACAGGGATTTAATCTCCGAGGGCAGTCATCAACTGCTCGAAACAGAGATTATTTGAGACTTTCCAAGTTAGGGAGTGCTCTGTGGCATGCCATCCTCTCCAGTTCGGACCCAAGCCAATAATCTAGTGGGTTGAGATCAGGGCTTCCTGAGGGCCAATCCGAGGCAGAGATGAACTCTGGAATGTTCTTTTGCAGCCACTGCTGAGTTGACCTTGTGAGCTGGAGCGGAATCCTGCTGGAAAACCCAATGACTTCCAGCAAACAGAGTATCACTTAGAGGCTTGACAACAGGTTCCAAAATATCGTCCTGATTGTTTTTAGCGGCTGTTTACTTTTAGACAAACTTGTAGTTTTGTGGTGCCATCAAAGTAAACTCCCACCAAACCATCAATGATGAAGGGTGATGACCAATTTCCACTCTTCCAATGACTTTCTGGACTTCTTTATAGCTGTGTGCATAGACACGATCATTTTGGCGAATACATGTTTCTTCGATTGTTATACTTTTCTCATCACTAAACAAAATCTTTCGATGAAGATAATTGGTGTAACAGCCAAGGAGCACTTTGCATCTATCCACTCTATTTTTTTTTTTTTTTTTTGGGGGGGGGAAGTGGTTAGTTATTGTCCTGTCATTCTTCGAAATGCAGCCATCCTAAGTTCATTTTATGTTATGCGAGACATTGATCTAACAGAGATTCCCATTTCCAGAGACATGATTTGTTGTTTTTTAATGGGATTTCTTCTGATTGGAGCAGCCACTGCTCTCACTGCATTAGCCGTTCTCACAGTGCGGGGACGGTCCGGTTGAGATCTGTCACATACAGATAGAGTCTCATTATATCTATTTATAGTGCGGTAAACGAACATACGGCTGATACCCAAAGGTTTCAATGTGTTGAAAATCTCTGACCTATATTTTCCAACTGTGTAAACAGATCACAGGTATTCGGTTTTCTTTATCACCCCACTCCATGTTAACTGAACGAAAGAAAAATAAAACTAATAATGATTATTATCCTGACAGGTAATGAAAATATCTTGATAGAGGTAAGAATTATCTAAATAATATCCAAGGATGTGAACAAAGTTCAACTTTTGTAACAGTATTTATGGCATAACTAGATTTATGGATGTTTACAATGGTTTTTAAACTTATGATGTTCAAGCAGGTGAGATGTCGATAATAGCTAGTGGAAGTGAAGACTTCGGGAATGTGTTCGACGACCTCTGCCTTTCCAGGAAGGTGTCGAAGAGAGCTGAAGGGACACAGACCCCTCCTCCGCAGCTGGAGGTTTCGGTTCCTGGAGAAGTTCCAGATGAATGCGTGTCTTCCTTGATAGAAATGTTAACGTAATCTTCATTCTATTTATTCAATGTTTGTAAAGTTATTTTACGATCTAATATGTATCCAGGTTTTCTCAAACTCATATAAAATTATGTGTTATGTGTAAATACAAATCTGCACAAAATATTTTAAGCTAGGCGATGTCCATGTTTGATTCCAGTATTCTTAAACTACTGATATGGGAGGATTTGTATAATGTAAGCGAGGGAAATGTACAGCATTATCATCCTCTTTGTAATGTGCTATTTTTGAAAACAGAATCTTAACGATTCATAAAGTATCGTTAAGATTAAGGGTATAAAAAATTACACATTAACAGATAAATTAAGAGAGTTTCTTGTTCTTTTTTGGCTTTAAGATTTGTAAAAGCAAGTCCTATTTTGCCAGTAAAATATTCTAATTGTCACAGTAAGATGAAATTAAACTGGATTTATGTTAATTATTTATGGTTAGATGATCACTGAAAGTGACATATATTGGACTTGGATATTAGCTATTATATTATTAGATATTATGGAAACTAGCAAGACTAATGGTTAAAAACTGAGATGAATTAAAATTACAATTAACTGAGAATAAGTGCCGACTTTTATTATATGACTGATTTTATGTCATTCATGAACTTTATCAAGTCACGGGCGTTATCTTTGTTCATCGACCGAAGGAAGTCAGCTCCATCATCCGTAGTTTGCGATCCTAAACTAATTCTTCTTCGCTTCTCGAACCTTTTGCACTTGAAGAGAGAAATTAAGAGAGTTAAACATGATAAGGTCTGATTTTTAGTTTCTGAGATATTTTAATCCAAATGTTCAACAAAACGCGTTATCAGTTGGTTTTCGACAGTATTTTTTCCTTTTTCTCCTCTCTAACACAACGTTGAGATACTCGTTTGAATAATAGCTCATTGCAGAGAGGGTGAAATGCTGAACATTTCCCGTGCTTACATTATGCAATTCAAATATTTAGTTTCTGAGCTGCTTTAATCATGCTAAAACACTTCAATTAGTCGACTCAAGACGAATACCCCGAGCGTTACACATCAGAAATCTGACGGCTCAATCTCATTCAACCCCCACAAAAAAAGTGCGAAACGCGCCTAAAAAAATTTTAATATAAAAAAATGAACTGTCTATCCTAAGGGAATGTACTTCCACATCTTGTTGGATTGTTAAAGTAACGTCTATGAATATCCAAATTTGATGAAATGTTGTTTTTCTTTCCTTTTCAAAATGTGGACATACACTGATTCGTAAGAGAAAATATACTTACCAAGAGTACATTGGAATGGTCCCGACTACTGGACCAATTTTGGAACTTGGTAATGTTGCTCAAAATCGGTCTTGGTCTTGCACTTTTTAACCGAAAGACCACGACCAAGGTCAGAAAAAAAATTTGTAAATGAAATTTAAGAAAAAATAGTTACTAATATTAGATAATTTTAGTTGCTGTATGTAAAGAATTGGTAGAAAATATATACTTTTGCATTTAACACTTGCAATTTTTCATTCGCGGTTTAATTAGGTTTTTTCCATTCTGAAAATTAACAGTAATATCTCTATAGTATGTAGTTGTATAGTGCACTAGCGGATCCGGGATTTAACTTTTGGGGGGGCTTCAGCCCGAAAGCTTTTTTTTTCATAAAAATAACGATAGTATTTTTGACCTATATGAAATGGTGTTTAACTAATTCCTAAAGTCCTTTTAAATGTAATTACACGAACAATAATACTTGAAGAGATAATTTTTTAATATTTTTTTCAGTAAAACATGGTTATATTTTATCATATTTGGAGAAGTTTCAGTCCCAAAGCCCTCCTTAGATCCGCCCGTGGTATAATGTTTTAAACAGTTCTTAAATTTCTGACAAAAATATTTTTAAAAAAATAATCTAAATCGGACCATTTTTAGCAATCTTACAGTGTTTTGTATTTTACTAATTGTTCATTTGCCCGTTTACATTGATTTAGTTCATCAAAGAAATAGTACTCTAATGATTTATTCAATAGGTTATCACGAAAATTAATCTAACTCAATTGTATTATTTTTAATTAAGAAATATGAAATTAAAAAAAAAAATGTTCCAATAAAACTGTTAAAAAGTCATATGAGTGAACACACTAGATTTTTCATATAGCGTTACATATATACGTGAGTGAAAGAAAAATATTTAAAAATCGCGATATCTCTACTAATAGTGCTTCGATTTCGATGAAACTTCTTTTGTTTTTTAGGCAATTTAAATACCTTTGAAACATCTTATCACAACATTCCCAAAAAAGTGTATACTTTTTGAGTTATTTGGAATTTAATTTTATCATCCCTCGTAACTTTTTTTCAATTTCTTTTCGCTGATGAATGTTATGTAGATAAATTTGAAGGGTGTCGAGAAAATGACTTTAGCGAAGTTTCAATGAAATCGGTACATTCTTTTAGGCGCTACAGTCTATAGCAACGCAGGTTTTTCTGCATTTTTTTCTCCTTAATTAACTTATCAAATTTTTTCAAAAGTTATATTTAGCATTTTTTCATTAATTTTAAAATTTGAAATGATTAACTTTTTAAAATAAACCATATTAAAGGTACTTTAGAGGGAGACGTATATAAACATTGGGCATTTAAGCCCTGTAAAGTGACATCAATGGGGATAAGACCTAATTTATATTAAAGACCACTTAATTATACAATGATACACCGAGTTTAATCAAAATCGTTAGAGCCGTTTTTGAGAAAACTGTGAAAATGTGTTTCAGCGTTGATATAAAGTGGTACTTCCGGTTAGCCGATTTTAAGGAAAAAGTTGCCGTCACAACTAAGGCATATACCTATCTGAAATACGTGATATCAGTTTCATAGGACTTTTCATTTTTGAGCTAGACTGCTAACATACAAACACACAGACACACAGACCATTTGTTGGGACTTGGTCATTTCGACTCAGGTCATTTTGGTCATTGGTCATTTTGAATCAACAAGATTCAAAAATTTTCTCGATCGCAATACTTACATTTACTATATATTACATATATACGTAAGTGAAAGTAAAAATGTTTCAATAAAACTGTAGAAAAGTCATATGAATGAACACACGAAGATTTTTTATTTAAATAATTGGTGAAATTGTACAGAATGTCTTTACAACTCTTTCTTTCCAAAGTGGGTCATCAGTATCTTTCTTGCCAACGTCTTTATTGTCAAGTTATTTTTATTAATTTTATTGGACATTACTATGCTTATGTCAATAAAACAATTTAAATATATCTATTGTGTAGTGTTTTCTAAGATCTAAAGTAACATGTTTAATAAATAGCAATAAGTTAATAAGTAACTGCAAAACTCTTGCACAAGACCAACAACACATTTAAGCAACACTAACATAAGTATATATATTTATATATATATACATATATATATATATATATATATATATATATATATATATATATATATATATATATATATAAGTACATTCCCTTGGAAAAGATAGCATTATTTCCATAGTTGAATATTTTTAAAAACATTTCAGACACATTACCTGAAAAGCGTTTTCTTAAAAAAACAAATTAACACTATTCATTACTAGTCCGTGATGCAGAACCCTTTTTATCAAATTATCAAAATCGGACAAAAGTTTTGTGAATAGCTTCATCTCATCGTAACCTAAAACTATTTTACTTACGAAAACTCTTGAAATTGTGGCGTTTTCAATCTTGAGGTCGATAAAATTTGGCAATTTAATTAGGTACTAAAAACTCGTATATACTTATTTGTTTTCCACTTACATCCCAAAATCGAGAAAATAGATGGCCTACAAAAGTATTGGGCCGCTTGGTCTATATAACCAATTTTGACATTTTGGGGGTGTAGGTCACAAGCCAAACGGCTCGATATTTTTGAAGGCTACCTTTTTTATTGAGTTTGTGATCAAATTATCTATCGATTCAAGTGGAAAACCAATGGGTATTAGCGAGTTTTTAGCATCTAATTAAATAGTCACAGTTTAACGATCGTCAGATTGCAAACGCCCAAATGTTTAGAGTTTTCGTAAATAAAATAGTAGCTTACGATGAGATGAAGAAATTTACGAATTTTCAGGCAGATGTAAATGATTGTTATTAATAATTAAATATAGGTATGACTGTATTTTTATGTTTTTAATTTACTTATATTTAGGTTATTTTATTTTTTTATTGTATATAGTTTTTATTTATTATTATTTAGTTATTATTTTACTTTTGTTAATTTTGTTTCTTTTTTGTATATACGGTGTGAATGTGTTCATTTATCAATATTTTGACAGAATATTATATGTCTAAATAAAAAAATAATTAAATAATTTTCATACTTACAAACCTTTAAATTTCTCTGATATGTTCAAAAAAAAAATCTTTATTTTTCTATTCTTCTTTTATCAATAAATTTCGTTATGGAAACTTTATAAAATTAAATAATACTAAAATGTAAACGTACTGTTCGTCAATATTTTATGTTATTCCACAATTTACAACTAAACTCCTCAACCATGGGTTTCCTTTAAATGAAATCAATAATTCTATTATAAATGTAGTAATAATAAATAGTGTGAAATTACACAAAAATGTCAAAATATATATTTCTATTTTATTTTTTAGACCACGTTTGAGGCAACATTACTCATCTAAAACTCCCTCGCGTATCTGGAATGACGACGGAAGCGAATTGAGTTCACTACTTGCTGAAGAAGAGGAAATATGTGAGTATGACGGAAAGTTAATTAGTTCAAAATAATAAATCGATTAATAAACTTTTGCTAGATAGTATTTAAATCTGTCAAAAATAATTCAATTTTGTATTTAACACGTGAGAATTATGTTTTGTACCGTAGCATACAAATCCGATAATTCAGGAACTGTAGAAACTTACCAACCTACTAAGGTTTATAAATTTGATCAAATATGAACCCCGAAAACTATCCAGGTAAACATTGTGTTTAACAATATCTATGAGATATGAAATTCAAACTGACAATTTCGAAGGACTTGTTAAGTCCATTGTCGAAAATTCGATTAGGGATAGAAAAAAATTAGTGGGTGCTTCAGATCACGCGATAGGAGTGAAAACATCAACACGGAGAGAGCAATAATATGAAATATAATTTTTTTTTTTTTTTTTATTATATGTCCTTGATTGTGACAGAATGTAATATTTCTAAATAAACAAATAATTATGATTTTTACAACTGTATCGGTATAAATAGATCAAGTAAATGTGTACAGAGGAATATAATCATGTGAAAATGCTTTTTGAGAAACTACTCATTGGTAGTACTCTAATAATATGTCTATATGAGGAGATCATGAGGCCATCGTCTTTTCAGACGCCTCAGAGGGTTATCAGGAATCGAAGAGGAAGTAATGTTAGAAACGAGAGGATTCGGATGGTTATGAAGTTTATTATGGAAGGATAGGTATCTGGATTGGGCCAAATCGGAAACATATAGAAAATTAAGCTCGTTGTGGTTTATTTTATTTGTGACAAAGTAAGGAGCATTGAGGATTTTACGAAGGATCTTGGATTGTAAGGATTGGATACGAGAGGAATTCGATGGTCTAATGGAGCCCGATTGCTCAACTCCGTAAGTCCAAATAGGCCTTATTATTGTCACGTATATTAGTCTTTTGTAATTAATTAAAAGGTTAGAGCGTTTGTCCAGTAAGTGTTGAAGTTAGAGGAAACGTCGAGCAGTTTCTTGTTTCAGTCTTGTATGAGGATTCCAAGTGAGTCGTTTGTCCAGGTGGAGTCCTAGGTATCGGATTTTTTCAACAGGGATATGTGGGGAATTACTAAAAGATACGGTAGGACAGCAAGTCATTGGTTTACGACGAAGGGTAAAGGTGATTTGATGCGATTTATTGGAATTTATTTTAATCCTCCAGTTTTGACACCATTCTTCAAGGTTATTGATGAGTTCGGGATGCAATTAATGGATCATTATTAACTGACAAGATACATTTATCATCAGCATACGTCGTGATGACTGCTTTAGGATGGGTTGGAATATCAGCTATATAAACTGTGTAAAGGATAGCACCAAGGATACTACCTTGAGGAACGCCTGCAGATTGAGAAAAGAGGGATGAACTTGTGATGAATTGTGATTTACTTTGAAGTGTCTACCAGTAGGGTAGGAACTGATGATGAAAGTATGTAGGGGGGAGAAATTTACGGAGTTTGTAAAGCAATTCCGGATGCCAGACTCGATCAAACACCTAAATATAAATTAATAGCTCATTATAAATAGGGTAAATGATGAACATTTCCCTCGCTTGCAGTATGCAAGTCCAATTTTTAGTTTCTGAGATATTTTAATCCATATTCATAAACACAGCCTAAAGATATTTTCATTTAAAAAATAATGTATTATATTATCTTTTCTTACAAATTCATATCTTGAGTAACAGTTGTTTATTAATAACCGGTCAGCTGTCGACAGAACTAGGTCCAAGACAAAGAAGTTGCTGATCAAAGAACACAGCTCGATCGAGATGAAGGAGGTCTTCGAGGAGCTGTGCCTCTCGAGGAAGAAGAGGAGCTACACGATGGTCGATGAGACCAATACCAATGACTACTCTTCGGCCATGCCGAGGGTGCAGGAGCAGGATGGGGAAGTACCTGATGAAAATGTCTCCTCAATGATAGAGATGCTCAGGTAATGTCAATAAGGCAGTACTGGTTCAAAAGTATTTAGAAATAGGAGGAATTTGGGGGCGAGGTGGTCGAACGGGCTAACGCGTGTGCACGGCAATCAGATAACCAAAGTTATATGAGAGATTAACAAAGTACGAGTTCGTATCCCGGTGCCGGAGGGGATTTTAAATTCCCCGCCCTCCGACATTGTATTTTTATTTCTTATTGTTATATGAAAAAATACTCAAATTTTAAATTGGAATATGTATACACATTGTAAATACTTTTTATTAATAACGTTTAATGGAGATAACATATACTAATCAAAGCATAAAAAGAACTGATATTGTAACGGCTCTTGATAGCCGATTTAGTCTTGGCAGATTGAATACCGCTGTCATATCTCAAAGTGTTAGGTCTTCGGATCTCCACCACTTCAGTGTGTATCCCTTTACGCAATTTGTCAGAGCATGAATCGTATATTCCTTGTGGTCTTCAACAGACTCCTTTTTATTTCACTATATCCATTAACCTTTTATCCTCTTCTCTTACTCCATGCAAGTTTGTACGCTGAAAAAATACTCAAATTTTTTCAGCGTACAAACTTGTCCGCTTGTATATACATATGTCCGCTTGTATTCCTATATACTAAGTCACTAGATTGATGCCTCCGTTATTATTTCGTCCTCTCACAAGTTCGGAGATTGATAACTCTATTTGTAGTTACCATCCTTATGGAGTGTTAAGATTGATCACTGCGGTGTAAGTGATTGAGGCCGGGAGTGATTGAGTGCTGATCCTCCTGTCACTTGAGGTCATCCTTCTACTCACCTTCCTTCATCCACTAAGTCATCTTACCCTCTATAATGTACACGCACTGTCGAGGCCTTCTAGTAAATGCCTGCATACTCCCTCTATATATATGCAGAGTATCTAAAATCGGAGCAGGTAGAGCTGGAGGAGGACGCTGGAGAGAGGAGAAAGCACTTGAGGATAAGAAATGGAGGCGGAATGACGTTAGAAGTCTACTACAAGATTTAGAAGATCAAGTTTATAGTTATAACACTAATAGAGTCAATTTATTACAGTTGTAGAAATAAATTATTTTGTTATACAGGAGTGAAAAGTCAGTTATTTATTCACTAGTCATATATGCCTCACGATTGAAGAATGACAAACCAGGTGAGTCAATTCATTCAAAGTGTGTTTACTAAATCCCACATTATATATATATATATATATATATATATATATATATATATATATATATATATATATATATTCTTATTGTTTCTTGTCACTCAGTGTCACAAAAGTTATTAGATTCCCGAATTCCCAACAACAGTTAAACACCCTAAAAAAGTCTATATCTAGGGCCGAGGTTTTGTTTTAATAATCACGAGTGTAAATAACCTAAATCCCCGATATAAAAGCGGAAGAATATTTACAATTAAACCCTTAACTTGTTATTTACAGTATCGATAGTCAATAATATCGAAGTAGTTACTATCGATGGTAAAATATCGAATATTGGAAGAATAATATCAATATTTCGATAATATCGCCTGTTTATTTAGAAATAATTTATGTCTAAAAATTGTTAGATCATTATAATCCATCTATGTATATTTATACATTATTCCATAACCCACATTATCTATTATGTATGTGTGTTGACAGACCCAGCATTCGACAACTGCACAAAAGAAACGGTGTTTCGGCGAACGTAGAAAAACCCGAAAAAGTCGTAGAATCAAAAGAAAACGTATTGCGTGAGTATGGTTGAAACTTATGAATAATTCTCAAAAACCTTGAAATAATTAAATAGTTATACACGATTAAATTAATTGCTCATTGAACCCTCAAGAGGGCAAAACGACCAGGGCTCTGTGGCTAATCAAGAAACAAAAATATAAAGAATGAAAATTATTTTTAAATTACCTTATTTCTATCAGCTTTCTGCTTGTTGATTAATTTCTTTTCATCTTTGTTTATATCTCCATGCACGACAAGGAGAATAATTTTTTCTGACCTCGGTGCCACTTGCAGTGTTTAAATAAATCACAACAAGCTTGATAATGATAAAAGGCTTAGCGAACCCGAAGGTTCGATGCCGACACCACCAAGCTCTTATTACATGCCTCCCTCCACCGTTCGCCGTCCAGACTCAGTCCCTTCAGATCCGCTTTAATGCAATTTTCCCACCTTCGCTTCGGTCTACACCTCGGACGCTTACCATTCGGCACAGCAAATATTAACCTTTTAGGAATTCTCTCGTTACCAAGTCCAACAATTTTACAAGTCCATTTGATTCGCCGCGATGAAATTACCTTAATTATATTACTCGGATACAGTTCACGCAATTCGGCGTTGTGTAACCGTCTGAACTCTCCGGTTAACTCATCCTTCTTCGGTCCGAATATTCTACGCAATACTTTATTTTCAAAAACCTTAAGACGCTGCTCATCCCTTAATGTAAGTGGCCAAGTTTCGCATCCATAAAGAACTGTAGGTAAGATAATAGTTTTATAGATTATAATTTTTAAGTTCTGGGACAAGAGGCGGGAACTGAGTAGTTTTGTCACAGAAAAATAACAAACATTTCCCGACTTCAGTCTAACCTTAATCTCTTCTTCAATTTCTTTTTTTCTAGTTATCGTAGAACCTAGATACCTAAATTTCTCTGCCTGTTCAAACATATTACCATCTATATCGATATCACTAGTAGTATCGCCATTTTTGCAGCTAACCATATATTTTGTTTTATCCACGTTTATTTCGAGTCCTAGTTCTTTACCAGCTTTCATTAACGTTGTCGTATTTAGTTTTATAGTTTCAACGTCTTCGCTTAACAGTACCAGATCATCAGCATAGCCCAGCACGGATGTTGTCCTGCCCAGATCCAACCCTCTCTCGGTTCGCATTACCTCCCTAATGGCATGTTCTAATGCCAAATTGAACAGGGCAGACGAAAGGGAATCACCTTGTTTTAAGCCCGAACGCACCTCAAATTTTTCGGACAGATTATTACCGATTCTAACTTTATTGAGTGTTTCCGTCAAGCACATCCTGACTAGATTTACTAGTTTTTTTGGAATCCCCTGCTCGATTAGAATATTATACAGTTTCTGGCGGTCAATGAAATCGTAATCCTTTTTGAAATCTATATACAGCTGATGAACAAAACCGGTGTACTCTAATTTTTTCTCTAATATTTGCCGTAAAGAAAATATTTGATCAATAGTCGAACGATTCCATCTAAATCCGCATTGGTAGTCTCCGATAATTTCCTTGACGTAAATCACAACAAGCTAGCTAAAGATTTATCGGTCGTGAATGGAAGTGCAAAAGTATATATTGGTGCAATAAATATTATCAGAGGAAGGAGATGGTCCGGGGTGGCGGTCATAAATAGACTAAAATAGTGAAAAAACTGTTTTATTAAAAGCCAACGTTTCGACCCGACTTTGCAGGCCTTCTTCGGGGCTAGAACGGACAAGATACAAAAGGATATAGAAAATTGTGAAAGTTTCATAATATTTAGGTTACAATTATAAACAAGGTGAATAAACTTATTAAAGTTATAAACAGTAAGTACTTTGAAATGTTAAGAACAATAAACTACATAAACAGAGTAAACTGAGTAACAAGATCCAAAACCGAAGTAAATAAATGGTAACAATTGTTGTACTTTAATATATTCATTTATAAATATACTCCTACAGATCTCAGGGAGATATTTGAAAAAAGGATAATTAATATGAAATAATGGAAAAAAAGGGATGTAAAGAAAGAAAAGATTGAAAAATTGAATTACATCTATTTTCCTGAAAATCGATCAAAGAAAGGATTCGAGTACCATTTATTTGATAAACTAAAGCAATGTAAACCGGCTTAAGGTAGATCAGTGTAAAAATTTCAATACTCCCAAATATTACTGATCGAAAACTTTTCAACATAGCCTAATGTTGTCAAACAATAATTTCTGTTAAAAGTGGAGGAAATAGTGAAGCTTGTGTGATGAGGGCAACAGATTTTCTTACTTTCATTTCAAGGATATGAACTCGTAATCTTACATTGGAAATTAAATAGCTATAATTTCGTTAATAGCTGTCCGAAATGAATGATTTTTATATAGTTTTTTTAGGGAATTTCATCACCTTCACTAGTTCCCGAGAAAATTTTGGCACGGACAGACAGACCAATGACTAAAAATGTGTTTTTCAGTCTCAGAGGTCTCTGAAACGTATAGATCCATCGAAAACATCGTATCGGAAATTTGACCCAATCGTAGTACTTTCCTTACCTAGTATAGGTAGGAATGTAAAAATAGTGAGAGTTTTTCTAGTGTTAAAATTCAACATAGTTAAAAGTAGAGGAAATAGTGAAGCTTCTGTGATGCGGGCAACAGATTTTCTTACTTTCACTTAGTCATCTTTATTCTCTCATTCACCCCTTTCTGACACCAGGTATGTACCCGTAATCTTACATTGGATATTGAATAGCTGTAACTTCGTTAATAGTTGTCCAAAATGAACGATTTTATATATTTTTCTAGGAGATTGCACTACCTTCAAAAAACAGGCTAAACAGTGTGTGCCTTCAAAACATTTTTCTTTTCTTTATATCGTTTTTTTCAGGAATTTAGTCCATGTACGAAAATTGAAAGGGGCATTATCAAAACATTATAGGAAAGTTTCATCAAAATCGTTAGAGCCGTTTTGCGCTACAGTCTATAGAAAACGATGTTTTTCATTTATTGCGCAGCAGCTATTGCGCATGGAGCATCAGATTTGTGTCACAGGTATCACTAGTCAAAACCCTACAAAATAGAAAAAAGAAGGAACAAAATCGGTTCAGTAGTTCCCGAGAAAACCTTGGCACAGACAGATAGACAGACCAATGGCTAAAAGTGTGTTTTTCGGACATAGGGGGCTCTGAAACGTATAGATCCGTCGAAAACCGCATATCGGTAATTTGACCCGATCGCAATACTTTCCTTACCTAGTATAGGTAGAAAATTAAAAATAGAGACTCACAGGTGTGTTCAGCAAGGAGTTTTAGTTAAAACTGAGAAAACAAGTGTAGAGCACCCATGGGGAAATTTTCTGATAACCTTATTTACTGAAAATTAATTGCTAATATTTTGAAATCTAATAATGTAAAAATTAAAAAGTTTTCGTGGACGTCAATTTCCCTATCGATTTACCGAGATTTTTCAGTAGATAAGTAAATACATTCCCTCACGGTGGATAAAATTTCCCAATTTCTGTAGTCATTTTTTTTTTTTATTTTATTAATTACTTCTATGAAGCTCTCCAAAAAACATATCGTGATTGATAGTATAATATGAATTATTTGATAGTCTTGGAGTTAAGTACAGGTTCAGAAATCAATATCAAACATTTGTGCCTAGACAGAATAATTTTAATTTATTTTTTTTTTAACTTTTATTATGATATTTACAACGGTATTAGTATGAATACATCATGTAAATGTGTACAGATGAATATTATCACATGAAACACGCTTGAAATTTTAATTAAACAACAAGATAATAAAATTGTATAATACTTTTGTTTGCCAACAACTTTTCTCTATACGACCTACCTTGCATGTTAGAGTTAGGACTGGAAAGTCAAAGGTGCGATTGCATCTAAATGCATACATAATAAACTATCTATTTAAATATGTTAAATGATACAATCAAATATCAACAGGTGCATATCAGAGCGAGCCCACCGTTGTTGCCCCACTGTCTAATCCAAATTTTTCAACGACAATGTCGGATGTCTCTCTGGATTCAATATTTACTGTGAGTTCATTTATGTTTTTTTATATATCAACTATCTACAACATTCTATTCGTTCTAGACTATTCCAGATTTCTTTTTTAGCTTCGTATAAATCTATATATACATAGTCCTGTCATAAATATTGTTACAAGGAAATATATAAAGATTTCAACAGAAAAATTACTTTTTTCAAAATATTTATTAGAAAATGAAATGTATATTTATAGAGAGTAAAACAAAAACGAAATTACAAAAAAAAAAACCTATGGAGTTTATATTATGTATAAAAAATATGAGAGATAAACTAACATAGTCAACTTAATTATTGTAAAACCAGCAATATAATACAATAAATTTATATAAATGTTTGGATATTGGCTTTTTTTTATTTTATTGAAGGTGTATTTGAGGTACTTGTGTATTATACAAGATACTTGTGAACAATCCGGTCGGGACGGATTGCTATCTGCCAATGTTTATAACATGAACACTAATAATTCTGATAAGGCTCTGATAATCCTTATGTTCGTATGAAATTCAAAAACACTAATACAAATGTAATAATAACAAAGCATTTTTATTTTACAACATATCGAAGATGAAGTAGGTGAAAAGAAATGTAAGAATAAAATAACACTTTGATTTGAAATCGAAATAGAGAAAAACAAATACAATAATAATATAATATCGTTTTTGTAACAAGTCCTATGAAAGCATCTCCATTTCGTCTTCTCGTCGAACTTCATTTCATGACCTTCTTCACAATATTTCACCTTTGTAATTATCCCAGCGTCTTGAAAATAAATATTTGATAGTCTCTTCATCTAAAGGCGGTAATCCCCACAATGTAATAACATCCATTTCAACTATAAACAATCCAACAAAAATAACAAATAATTCACACGCAACAGCTTACACGAGATAAAAAGGCAGGTTATGTGACGTAAGATAAGATAAGAAGGAAGTCTTACTGCAGACCAGATTGTTCACAAGAATCTCATAAAATTCCGATTAAAGATAATAGGAAAATAGAGCATGGTAAAATACTAACATACCTAGTTCTAGGCCTTAGCTGAACCAACTAATCGACTTTTCTTAGTTTATTAATTTATTTTTAATTAATTAGTGAACATATTCTATTCATTCATGTAGACTAAGTGTTATGATTTTATTTTTGTTCTTCAAAACATTAGTGGGGGGAGGTGTTGAAACGATATTCTCGCCACCCCCCCCCCCCACTCTATTATTATTGGGGAGAGGAGAGCGGTCCCCTCGCTCCCCCTCTCCTTCCCTCCCCCCCTAGTCTCCACCAATGATATGGAGTTGTTCACGAAATTTATGGTAATAATTTGATAAAAAGGGGTCTGTACCACTTATTAATATGCAATGAACGAATATACACGACTAGAAAAAAATGTTGGAAACATGCGAATTGATATATATTTTCCACAAATTTTCAATAATGATTGTCGAATATCAACAATGTATGATGAACATTAGAATTATTATATGATTTATTCCATAATAAAATTAAAATTAAAAATCCCAAGTTTCTCACCATTTCTATAGTGTACTATCTATGAGAAGGATAACAATATTTCTAGGTCAGGAGTGATTTTTCATTTGAAAATTAAATCTATGAGACAAGCCAACTTAGAAATATATATTTGTTTATTTTATTTTTAGGCTTATTTAAACTTTCATATAAAAATATATTTCAGACTCCATCAAACTTGACAGACACGATAGATGAAGGCATGATCAAAACACTGCTCTCGTCACAACCTCCATTGGACCTGCCCATGGATAAAGGATTTGTGGAGACTGGATCCAACACCGAATCTACCAACAGAAATTTCAAAAGGTAGAATTAATAATCATCATATTACAAATATAATAATTAGATATTATCGCATTGGCCGACAACCCGGATCAATGATAATTAGATAAAATAAACAAAAAAAATAAACACAAAATAAACACAAAATAAACAAAAAAGTCCATATTAACATATACCTCAAACTCATTTATTAAACAAATGGCAAATGTTAAAGATCCCCATCCCAACATATCCAAACATATATTATTACAGTAAGGCTCGAAATCGGTTTTGTACCAAATGTAAGCTCCTGTCATGCTCAAATACCATGAATGGGGTACCGTTGGATTCAGAATTTCACGGGGGGTTAGCGAATCGTATTCTCCACTTTTGTTTTTCATTCTAAAATAAATAAAGTCGATACAAACATTTTGCTAGGCTTCAGTACTGGAACTGTGGTAGGTCTGTAGATCGATAAGGGGCAAATTGGACTTAGAAGATTTTGAAGTGTACAGCAAGACCCGAATGGTTCCTCCGGAACTATCGGATTCTGTGTTTTTAAGCCCAAAAACGTACTATTTTCGAGATAACGCAAGGCATAGGGTTCGCATCCACACAACCTGACGTTAATTGTAGTACTGTCATTGAATACATGTCTCATTTCGTCGACTTGAGGTCTCTATGATCGAGAGAGGAGGAGTTTATATTATTTATCGATGGTGTTTTTGATCGGCAAGCCATATCATCGTTAATTCTTCACCAAATCTCAAGATTGAGCCACCAATTTCGAAGGCTTCCTTCTCCTTCAGGCGGGCAAAATAGTCCAATCACCCGAAAATTCAGGCAAACAAGTTATGAAAGAAAAGAAACTTCATTTTCGAATAACTACAAAAGTACACACTTTTCCCTTGGTTATGCCCATGATTATATAAAAGATTACTAAATTCCCTACAAAAGAAAAAAAAAATCATCGAAATCGATTAGAAATTTTTCCAATATTTTCTGTTTTACATTTTATTATTTATTTTTTCATATTTTCGATTAATATTCATTAGGAGAGTTCTATTATAGACCATTTTATATGAAAATAACTATATATTTGGCATATAGCTATATTATCAGTACAATGATGAAATAGTTTGTACTGACCGAAGGAGGAAAGTGGGTTCAAAGGAAAAACAGAGTTGAGATTTGTATTTCGCACCTCTATAAAGCCTCAAATACGAATTTTCATAGAAATAAAAAAAAATTTGTTTGCACCAAATCGGAACCAAGGCTCCCTCCCCTCTTCGATCTTTTTTCGAAAATTACAAAAAGTGGGATAATATAAAAATGACTCCAGGTATCCTCACGACTAAGTTAGGACTACATAAGCTAAACGAAATGACACAAACCAGACCCCTGTAAATATAATAGAACTAGAGATATAAAACAAAAACCTTTGAGGAGTTTTTCTTTATTTATTGTTTTTAAACGCGTCAAATCTAAAAGTTATTGATATGGTGTTGAAGAGTAATAACTCAGCTTTCCAACGATTATAGATACATTGAATTAGGAGAAAATCCTGAGGAGTTATGAATCATATACTGAATAGCAGAGGGAAAAATGAAATAGAAAGACAAACCGCGTTCCTATGGCAACGCAGTCAACAGAACATTGCTATCCCTAACCCTATTCGTACATCCGTACATATATTATTACAGTAAGGCTCGAAATCGGTTTTGTACCAAATATAAGCTCCTGTCATGCTCAAATACCATGAATGGGGTACCGTTGGATTCAGAATTTCACGGGGGGTTAGCGAATCGTATTCTCCGCTTTTGTTTTTCTTTCTAAAATAAATAAAGTCGATACAAACATTTTGCTTGGCTTATACAACTTTCCATAATTCCATGATTATTAAAACATTACTAAATTGTCTAAAAAGGAAAAAAAAAATCATTGAAATCGGACAATTTTTCGCAAAGATACAGCTTATTGAAATTTGTAAATATGTTGGTTCCAAACAAAAATGAAGATTTAAATTAATTTTGTTTCCTTTGTCGATTATATTTATCGATAAAGTAACAATTGATTCATTTATCTTTTGATACGTTGCATTATTTTACTTTTCTTATTAATTTGGCATTTGATAACAATATGCTGTGCGAATTTTTCGCACGGGCCTACTAGTTTATTATTAATATTACAGCATTTAGAGTAACTGTTCAAAGGGCCTCCGTTTTGTTGAATGCAACATTCAGCACGACGAATCCATGCTTCTCTGGCTCTTCGTATAGCATCAGGGTGGTGCTTGATAGTTACTGCGGCTTTCACAATCCGATTTCTTAGATATTCTTGGGTGCCAACTGCCGCAGAATAAACCATAGGCTTCATGCAGCCCACACAAAATAATCTAATGGCGTTAAATCTGGAGATCGTGGTGGCCATTTAACAGGTCCGTTTCGACCAACCCATCGGTCTCCATAAGTTGCATTTAAATAATCAGTGACACTATTAGAAAAGTGAGCTGGAGCACCGTCATGCATAAACCACAGCCTTTGCCTAATGCCTAGCGGAATATCTTCTAGGAGTTCATGAAGATTATTTTGCAAAAAATATGCAAGATATATCTGACAGCCTAGGTGGCAAAAAGAAGGGGCCGATGATGTTGTCGCTTAGAAGACCACACCAGACATTTAAAGAAAAGGTATGTTGGTAATGTCCAACAGCAGTCGTATGAGGGTTTTCTTCAGCCCAAGTATGGGTATTTCGAAAATTAAGAATCCCGTTTCTTGTAAAGCAAGATTCATCAGTAACCAAAATGCAGTTCAGGAAGTTAGGATCTCGTGTGCATTGTCGAATTAACCACTGGGAGAAATTTCTGCGCTTGTTATAATCTTGTGGTAACAAATCTTGCCTACTCGATACGTGAAATGGATACAATTGTTGTTCGCGTAAAGTTCGCCATACGCTGGTAGAGGAAACATCGAAACGACGTGACAATCTTCTGGTACTAGTAGTAGGAGATAACTGAACAGCATCGAGTATTTCTTCTTCAACGTTTGCAGTTCGTCGAAATCTTTGTCGACCGGCGTTTACTCGTATAGGTTTTAGCGTGCCATTATCCCTAAGGCGTCTTTCAATGGCCTCAAACGTTTTACGATTTGGTATTCTTCGGTTAGGAAATTTTTCACGATATCTTCGAACAGCAGCAGCACCGTTTCTATGTACCTCGCCATAAGTTAAAAGCATGTCTGTTTGTTCTGCAAAAGTGAATAAATTTATGGTGTCTCCCATGATAATCATAAATTGAACTGTGTCACAGTATTCACTCACACTAAAACACACAGAACTAGACAAACAGATGAGCAATTACTGTCATTGCTTATCGTTCATTTGTTTATCAGGTGATTAAAACCTGTTATTTAGTATTAAACACGTTAAACTTTGTACAGTCAGTCTTAATGTAATAAATAAATAATAAATCTTTAACCTTTGATATCCGTTTAATAATTGAGATTGAGATATATGTTAATATGAACTTTTTTTGTTTATTTTGAGATAATGATGCAATTACGAAACACCCTGTATATGTGCAACTAGTCTTATCATTTGGTTTTCAAAACTATTTTTCCTTTTCGCCAACCTAACAAGGCGTCACGTCAAGATACAATTTTGAATTATATCCTACTACAGAGAGGATGGGATTCTGAACAATTTCCTCGCTTACAGTATGCAGGTCCGATTTTTAGTTTCTGAGGTATTCCATCCACAGTTTACTCGAATGAAATTTGACAGATCAATCTAAATCACTCTCCAAAAAAAAATAAAAAATGCAAAACATGCCTAAAGGAGTTTTCACAAAAATATAAAACTTTAATTTTTTACTGAAAATATGTTCATTATTTATACGAGTTTTTTTGTAGTTTTTTTCTATCACTCCTAAAATATTTCCCTCAAGTTATGGAACACTGATATTTCTTTATTTATTATTGAAAAAAGTTTGAAAACCTTCAATATTCTAATATGCGTTATATTCATTAAAATTTTACAGAAAGAACAAGAAAAAGAGGAAAAGATCGAAGGTGAAACTTATCAAAGACAGCGGTACAGATACAATTTACCAAACAGAAGATTCTACAAATCAAACTGAAGATATTATTTCTAAAGACACGGAAGAACTAATCAATGAAATCCAATGCAAGACAAAAACAGTAGAGATTAAAGAACAAGTTAACGTAACGATAGAATTAGAAAAAAAAACGTCAAAAGAAGTACAAGAAGACAATGGCATTACTGTACTCAGGAACAGAACGGTAAGTTGATATTATTATTGTAAGTTATATTAGTTTTAGTTTTAAAAATAAAATTGTTAGTCTGGAATTATTATTCGAATTATACAAAGTGGTATTATTAGTTGAAGCTGAAGAAACCCCGGTTGATAATCAGAAGGAATTCTTTGAGTGATAAATTTATTTTAATAATTATTGCATTTAATTAGCGGTTCTATTCCTCTAACACAGATATATTGAAAAAATAAAAGTCCATCCCTATTACTAACAGTTTTTTTTTATTATTATTATTTCTATTTCTTAATGACATTTACAACTGTATTACATAAATACATCAAGTAAATTTGGACATAATTGATATAATGACATGAATACACTTGCTGAGTAACTACCCAATGGTAGCACTCTAATGATATGACTACATTAGGAGATCACGGGGCCATCTTCTTTTCAGACGCCTCGGAGGGTTATCAGGAATTGAAGAGGAAGCAAGGTTAGAAACGAGAGGGTTGGGATGATTCTGAAGTTTATTATGGAAGGATAGGTATCTGGATTGGGCCAGATCTGAAACATAAGGAACATTAAGATCTTTATGGATAATTTTATTAGTGACAAAGTAAGGAGCATTGAGGATTTTACGAAGGATTTTGGATTGTAAGGATTGGATGCGAGAGGAATTCGATGGTTTAGTGGAGCCCCATAGCTCAACTCCGTAAGTCCAAATAGGTCTTATTATAGTCAAGTATATGAGTCTTTTGTAATTAATGGGAAGTTTAGAGCGTTTGTCTAGTAAGTGCTGAAGTAATCGGAAACGTCGAGCGGTTTCTTGTCCTTTCAGTCTAGTATGAGGATTCCAAGTTAGTCGTTTGTCCAGGTGGAGTCCTAGGTAACGGATTTGCTCAACAGGGATAAGTGGAGTATTGTTAAAGGAAACTGTAGGACAGGAAGTCGTTAACAGCTTTTTTAAAGTTATGTAACTACAAAGGTATTATTCGTGTTCTGAAAAAATCTGCCATATTGAATTGTATTTACGATATATTTTTAATAAACGTAGAAATAACTTCTCTTCCCGACATTGACACAATTCCGGAAACTCAACGAGATCCTTATTTTAACAAATATATTAAATTCAATTTTCCATCCTTTTATCCAATATTCACTAATGGATCTAAAAGCCCTATGAGAGTATAAGCTGTTGTTTATAATCCTAGAGATAATGACAGTGTCCTTATTGGTATACAGAAAAAGGCTTCAGTCTACACGGCCGGACTGACAGCGATATTAGCAGCTCTAGATTATGTAAAGGACATCATTAAGTGCCATAAAAAAATCAAAATCATCATATTTAATAATATCGATTTTGGAAAAAATTTCCTTAAAAATAAAAAAAAAATCGTTAAGATCGGACAACTAGGAAGAAAGATATGGTCTCTAGTTTTTTTCCCTGAAGAGGCGAAAATTTGGATAAATTTAAAATATACTTTTTTAATTGTTGAGACTAAAAAAACTTTTTTTCTACAGATATTTAATAAAGTATCTTTCCTAAGAACATTTTTCATAAGAAATAAGTACCTAAATTTATACCTTTATTCTCAGTTCTATATTTCAACACTGCAATCACCACCTCCGGAATCAACTTACTCATATTCTGCATAGATAACTTTTTCAACTAAAAATATCACTAAAATGACATCACTCAAAAATGTTGAAATTGGAGTTAGTCATTCTGAAGTTTATAAAAGCAAAGAAAGTTGTGTGGTTTATAAAAGCAGATGGAGTGACTAGATTTTTATTGCCTACCGTCGATATATTAAATAGACATTTTGTAATTATAATGGTCTTAATGACTTGTTATCTGTAAGCTTTAAGCTTTAGCTCCGTTTAAAATGCACTTCAAAAAATTTTATAATAGCCCAGCATTGCCAGAAAATAATTTCTATTCAAAGTAGATCGGTAAGTGAAAGTTGTGTGTTGCGCGCACCAGATTTTTTAAAATACTAACATTTCTTCCATATTCATAGTGCAATAGCAAACACAATACTAAGCTAGTTTCAGCAAGAGTTAACAGATATAGTTGTTGGTATATTATAAACAAGATAAACAATCCACCTCAGGGATTAATTCATCAGATAAGAAGTGTATCATAGTGACATAAAATTAAACAGAAAAACCAAAAGGACTTATTTGCCAACCCAATTAGTCTTACCCAAAATCGGTCTTGGTCTTGCACTTTGCAAATGTTGCAAGACCAAGACCAAGACTGGCAAAAAAATCGATTTTTTGGATAAAAATTAAGGCAAAATTTTTACTAATACTTGACAATCTTAGTTAGTATACGTTAATAATTGGTATAACCAATATACTTTTGCATTTAACTCCTCTAATTTTTCATTCGGGCTTAGTTAGGTTTCTTTCATCTAAAAAAAAACAGTAATACCTCTACAGTAATAAGCTAATAAGTAACTGCAAGACTCTTGCGCAATAACAAGACCACGACTGAGTTTGCAAGACCAATACTCCTCTCGGTCTCGCATTTGGCCAACAATAAACCCAATAGTAAAGAAACGAAAAAAAATTAAAAGTTGTAATATCATAAAATTAATGTTTGTTATACAAAATAAATTGTATTTGTATGGAGTTCTTTCCTCAAACCAATTAAATAAGAAATATATCTATTCATATTAATATAATTAATGATATAGGTTCATCATAATGGCATAAAAATGAACAGAAAAAACGAAAGGAGTTATTTTCCATAAAAAAAAAAATTACTTGCTGTATTTTTAACCAGTACAGGTGGGGTGGCCGAATGGCGAACTCGCGTTTGCCCGGCAACCAGATAACCGAAGTCATGAGATTAAAAAATGTGGTGTGTCCACTCACACGTCTTTTCTACCTATTTCAGAAAAGTTTTTATATCTTTACATATGTCCATCAAGGAAGAACAAAAAAAAAATTGAATTAGATTTATTTTCCTGAAAATTGATCAAAGAAAATATTTGAGTACGATTTATTTGATAAACTAAAGCAATGTAAACCGGCTTAAGGTAGATCAGTGTAAAAATTTCAATACCCTCTAATATTGCTGATCAAAAACTTTTTGCCATAGCCTAATTTTGTCAAACAATAATTTCTGTTAAAAGTAGAGGAAATAGTGAAGCTTGTGTGATGCGGGCAACAGATTTTCTTACTTTCACTTAGTTATCTTTTTTCTCTCATTCATCCCTTTCTGACACCAGGATATATACCCCTAATCAGGACGGTGAACTCAGGAAGCTCTGAAGCGTATAGATCAGCCGACAACCGCATATCGAAAATTTGACCAGATTGCAAAACTTTCCTTACTTAGTATAGATATTAAAGTAAAAAAGTATGATTTCGCGTCTTGAATAAGAATATAATAAATAATAAGGCTTAGCGAACCCGAAGGTTCGATGCCGACACCACCAATCGCTTATTACACACCTCCCTCCTAAGTATATGAGAGTTGGTGGTGAGGTGGATCTGAACTCTCCATTTGAGGTAGGTTCTTTTAAGTTTGAGAGAGTGAAAAGTTTTATATACCTTGGGTCTGAAATTAATAGCAAAAATGACATGGCTCAAGAAATACAAAGAAGGATCACGGCTGCCAATAGATGTGTCTTTGGACTTGGCCGACACTTAAGAAGTAGGTACCTCTCAAAGAAGACCAAGCTGATCATATACAAGACCTTGTTCGGCCTGTTTTGACATATGGCTCAGAGGCTTGGACGATGACTAAAAACGATGAGATGAAGCTGAGTGTGTTTGAGCGAGGAGTCCTCAGAAGGATTTATGGTCCAGTAAAGGAGGGTGATGTCTGGAGGAAAAGAAAAAATAGGGAGCTCAGTTCTCTCTATGCAGACATCGACGTAGTCACGTATATTAAACTGGCCAGACTAAGGTGGGCAGGGCATGTGGCCAGAATGAGCACCGTTGAAATACCAAAAAAAATAATGATGGAGGAGCTGCACCTCGTAAGACGGGTAGGAAGGCCGAGGACGAGATGGTTGGACAACGTGGCCTATGATGCGAGAACCCTGCTTGGTGTACGGAATGGAGAGCTGCAGCAGAAGACAGAGCCAACTGGCGGAGGCTCTTGGAGGAGGCCCAGTCTCGGTAACGGGATGTTGTGCCACACATGAACACACCTCCCTCCACCGTTCGCCGTCCAAACCCAGTCCCTTCAGATCGGCTTTAATGCAATCTTCCCACCTTCGCTTCGGTCTACCCCTCGGACGCTTACCATTCGGCACAGCAAATATTAACCTTTTAGGAATTCTCTCGTTACTAAGCCCAACAACTTTACAAGCCCATTTGATTCGCCGCGATGAAATTACCTCAATTATATTACCCGGATACAGCTCACGCAATTCGGCGTTGTGTAACCGTCTGAACTCTCCGGTTAACTCATCCTTCTTCGGTCCGAATATTCTACGCAATACTTTATTTTCAAAAACCTTAAGACGCTGCTCACCCTTAATGTAAGCGGCCAAGTTTCGCATCCATAAAGAACTGTAGGCAAGATAATTGTTTTATAGATTCTAATTTTTAAGTTTCGGGACAAGAGGCGCGAACTAAGTAGTTTTGTCACAGAAAAATAACAAGCATTTCCCGCCTTCAGTCTAACCTTAATCTCTTCTTCAATTTCGTTTTTTCTAGTTATCGTAGAACCTAGATACCTAAATTTATCTACCTGTTCAAACATATTACCATCTATATCGATATCACCAGTAGTATCGCCATTTTTGCAGCTAACCATATATTTTGTTTTATCCACGTTTATTTCGAGTCCTAGTTCTTTACCGGCTTTCATTAACGTTGTCGTATTTAGTTTTATAGTTTCAACGTCTTCGCTTAAGGTAAATCAGAATATAATAAAAAAGTATTATATGTTCTTATTCAGACATTAGTTTTATGAAATAATAAATTTTCTTTTATAAAATTTTATTTAATATTGTGTCTCTGTTTCAAAGGACTGGACCGACACGCCATTTCTAACTCAAGAGTCGAGTGAGACCGTAGAGGAGTCTGCGGCTTCCGTCATGGACTCGGAGCCGACCAGAGGTTGTCCGAGCGCCCTCCAAGTAATTAAGAAAGCCTTAGTCAATATTTTAAACTGTAAATAGAAGCAAGAGCAGAGGTGTAATGCTTCCTTATTTCTCTAGTATAAAATTCAATTTAAATGTGCTGACAAAAGTAGTTCTAATACTAAGACAGAGATAAAACGATTTAAGGCAATTTTGCATCCGGGGAAAATGCCTGTGGAGAAGAAGGAATGCGAAAACAAGCGGCCAAAAGGTTCGTATTGTTGATATCGTTCATTTTTTAAACAGTTACTTAGGGTAAGTGCACAAGTAGCTGGCATGTTTAAGGAAATTTCTTTGAACTTCGTCTGTAAAAACTTGATAAAGTTGAACTTTTCTCCGATTCATCTTACAGAACTACTTCTCATCTTACAAAAAATTTAACGATGTAATTTAAAAATGACAACTATAATCTGTGCTTTAGACCACACGATATAAATTAAAACATCAACAAGGCGACATTAATAATATGAATTTTTTTGTTATTATTTCTTAATGATATTTACAACTGTATTAAAAAAATACATCAAGTAAATTTGAACATATGGATATAATGATATGAAAACACTTGCTGAGTAACTACCCAATGGTAGCACTCTAATGATATGTTTACATTAAGAGATCACGGGGCCATCTTCTTTTCATACGCCTCGGAGGGTCATCAGGAATTGAAGAGGAAGCAAGGTTAGAAACAAGAGGGTTGGGATGATTCTGAAGTTAATTGTGGAAGAATAGGTATCTGGATTGGGCCAGATCTGAAACATAAGGAACACTAAGATCTTTATGGATAATTTTATTAGTGACAAAGTAAGGAAAATTGAGGATTTTACGAAGGATTTTGGATTGTAAGGATTGGATGCGAGAGGAATTCGATGGTTTAGTGGAGCCCCATAGCTCAACTCCGTAAGTCCAAATAGGTCTTATTATTGTCAAGTATATGAGTCTTTTGTAATTAATTGGAAGTTTAGAGCGTTTGTCTATTAAGTGCTGAAGTAGTTGGAAACGTTGAGCGGTTTCTTGTCTTTTTAGACTGGTATGAGGATTCCAAGTTAGTCGTTTGTCTAGATGGAGTCCTAAGTATCGGATTGGTTTAACAGGGATAAGTGGGAAATTATTAAAGGATACGGTAGGGCAACAAGTCATTGTAATATTTACAACTGTATTAAATAAATACATCTAGTTAATCTGAACATATGATATAATGACATGAGAACACTTCCTGATTAACAACCCAATGGTAGCACTCTAATTATATGTCTACATTAGGAGAACACGGGGCCATTTATTTTCAGACGCCTCAGAGAGTTTTCAGGAATTGAAGAGGAAGCAAGGTTAGAAACGAGAGGGTTGGGATGATTCTGAAGTTTATTATGGAAGGATAGGTACCTGGATTGGGCCAGGTCAGAAATAAGAAATATTAAGGTCATTATGGATAGTTTTGTCTGTAAGAAAGTAAGGAGCATTGAGGATTTTACGAAGGATTTTGGACTGGATACGAGAGGAATTCGATGGTTTAGTGGAGCCCCATAGCTGAACTCCGTAAGTCCAAATAGTCATGTATATGAGTCATTTGTAATTAATTGGAAGTTTAGAGCGTTTGTCTAGTAAGTGCTGAAGTAATCGGAAACGTCGAGCGGTTTCTTATAGTTTACCAGGCCCCTCAACATTTTTATTGGGGGGGATAATTTCCCCCTTGCCTCTCTATAACCGATGTATAGTTGCTCCTTTTACACAATCTCGAGCATGACGGACCTTTATAATCTGTCATCCATTATTCCTTGGACACGGTTCCCAGCAAAACTAAAGCAAAGCTCACAAATATACTTGGATAATACATAGAAGCTACGAATTAATGAAACAAAGATCTAGGAGCTCTTGAAAACTTATTATTTCCATTTTTCTAAAATAATGTCAAGTATTGTCAGCTACTGGTGCTTTTGCCCAAATTAAAATTGAAGTTATTTCGATTTTTTCGTTTTATTTATTTTTTGTTTTTGCAGATTTCGTACGCAACAAGTTTTTCAACAAGCCAATCACTAACCCCTGTACAGTAGGCTCACCGTACGCCATCGGACGTCTAAATGATAAGATCCAAGACAGAATGTTCCCAAGTCACAGCAGCCTGAGTTCGCGACCAGCTTCCACTGGAACTTCACTTACTTCGATAAGGTACTTACTTGGTTTCATTAGCATATTAAAGGGGAGGGAGGTTTCGATGTTAAATCACCAATATAAAAAATAAAATATTTTTTCCATTTGTCCGTTTTAATTTCTATAGTTACGGAATGGACTTAATCCGTAACAAATAATAATATTAATTTAACTTTTATTTCGTTAAATATCCTAATTGGTGAATCATGTCGTTTCTCATGACTTTTATCAAAGGATAAAAGAACAAAGCATCCCTAGATAGCCAGGTCAAGCTATCTCTGATAAGGTATCGATAACTTCCTTTGCCGTCATCTTCCGACTACCCTTCACCCTCTCACTATTCTTGGGTACATAAACCCCATGCTCCTAAGAACAAATCACTCATGTAGTTACATTCTTGAAGTCACACTCTTCATTGTAGGAGACCTGGAGTGAACTCGTGTAGTCAAACCATATATTCATAGTATATTATTCTGTATGTTAGATTTTTAAAAGACAACACGAATAAAACCATTACTTATGAAGTCTTCACTGCCTCCGATTCGTTAACTTATGAGTGGCTAACGCGTAGTGTAAAACATGCATTGTTTAACAAACAGATAAACAGAACTATAATAAATAATAATAAAATGCTTAGCGAACCCGAAGGTTCGATGCCCACACCACCAATCGCTTATTACACACCTCCCTCCACCGTTCGCTGTCCAAACCCAATCCTTTCAGATCGGCTTAAATACTATCTTCCCACCTTCGCTTCGGTCTATCCCTCGGACGTTTAGCATATACAGCAAATATTAACCTTTTAGGAATTCTTTCATTGCTAAGTCTAACAATTTTACAAGCCCATTTGATTCGTATGTAATCACCTCAATTATATTACCCGGATACAATTCACGCAATTCGGCCTTGTGTAACCGTCTGAACTCTATGGTGAACTCATCCATCTTCGGTTCCAATATTCTACACAATCCTTTATTTTCAAAAACCTTCAGATGTTGTTCATCCCTTATGTAAGCGGCCACGTTTCTCATCCAAGAACTGTAGGTAAGATAATGGTATTTATTAATTTACAGAAAAATAAAATATATAAGTGCACCTTTGAGAATTTTTATTACAGAAATGAACATTCCTTTCTGAATTATATGTTGAAACTCGAAAATTGAACTTTCACAAGTGAAAATCCCGAATATTCAATTACGTTTTACCGCAAATATGAATTTTGTACTTAAACCCACTATTCACAGATATATATTGTTTTTTAAAAATAAAATTCCACATTGAGTTGGATTGAACAGTTTGGGATAGATATAGACACACATCTATATAAAACGTATCATAAACAGAGGTGTATCTCTCCCCCTCCACCCTAAGATAGATGGCGCATTAATCTACTTCCCGCCTCCCAAGAAATACTATTCCTCATCTCTTCTTAAAAATATGCAAGAAAAGTAAAATTGGAAAAGATCATACACAATTTAAGTTTCTATAGCCTGGTCCATAGTTTTTTACTTGTCATGTGGATTAAAACTTATTCTCGAAATTCATAACTCGCATAGAAATTTGTCCACCCTCCCCCCAAACATTGTAAACCACGTAAAAATTTTCCCCGCTCAAAATGTTTATGGCGCAACTAACGCCATGAAACCACACTATGGGCAACCCAGATCATAACAATATAATGATATTAATAAAATTATTGTATGATTTAGATCGTACAGTTGTTCGAGTTGTTACGGAGAGGAGAAGTTAGGAGATTGTTGCTGTAACGCTTTGATAGCAGATACCCACACTGCACCGGGTATGTATACCACATGATATAATAATATATTACAATATGTTTAGTGTCTTGTTTAGATTAGGCTCGCCTGTTATTTTATATAGTAACAGTTACTTATTGATAAATTTAAGAATACGGGTTAAGAAAATATATGATTTATTTAATAGGAACAATTTATACATAACCAAAAACTTCAACATACTTTTAATGAATTACTCCAGGTACCTCTGGAGGCCAAAATTCTACTATGCCCTCAAGGATTTTATCAATAACGTCTTCATTTCAGTTCCTCTGCCTCCACATGAACTCATGCTATGTTCCTGGCCTCGCTTTTCTACGGCGAGTAGGGGGTTCCAGGAACCGCATTTATTTGTATTTAATAGTTATATTTGTATTCGTATCGGTTCCAGAAGGGAACCTATCTACAGAAAAATATATTAATTACGTATTTAAAGGTAAGATACCACAGACCCCCTACTATAGTATCCTAGATTGAACCATATAATTTTTATTGGATTTCCTTTCTAAAGGTATCATGTTTTTAAATTTACTATTTGTTCTATATCTAACTAGTGGCATGCAAGGTAGATGGTAAAAGTACTACGTTGGTTTACTAACTATTTTATTTACAAGCTTAAATAAAACAAAAAACATCTATATACAAAATAATAACTAAACCTATATACATAATGAATAGTTGAGAATCATACTGGGGGAGAATGCTTGATGTTTGATTAAAGTTATATGTGTTATATTGATTATATTAATTAATGATGTATGGTTGCCAACACAAATTTACATTAGTATAACTAAATGCTTGTTACCACTTAGCTGGTCCTTCATAGTGTTTCTAGCCGTCATATCTGGATTCCCTGTCTCTGCTCTCCTTCAGCGTCCAGTCCGTCCATCTGCTCTCTCCGGCTGTCTTCGTCTTCCTCCTTCGACTCCCCCGCTTGAAGTCCCCTTAGCTGAGTCCCAAAGAGAAGTCTCCTCCTCTGAGTCCCAAAAAGAAGTCTCCTCCTCTGAGTCCCAAAAGGAAGTCCTCTATTTCCCACCTTTCTTTATTCCCCTCTATTTTGTTAGTCTTCTCTGATTGGCTGAATATTCCTAGCCTAAGGGATTACCACGTCCTCTCCCCCAGGCCAAGGTAAAGCAGCAGGTACAGATTTACGTATTTCTGGTGGAAGGTGTGAAAAGGTCTTTCGGGATCCTGTTTAAACACTCAGTTGTCGGTCTTTGTCGGTGGTTCTTAAAGGTTTTTATTACCACTTACAAAAGGTTGGGCTTGTGGGTCGTTACCCTCAGTCAGGTACCGCCAGATGTGGCCACTTATGATATTTATTTATTTATACCTTTAAAATAATGAAATAAATGCCACCGGCGGTCTTTACAATACATAGCACTCACATAAATACTAGTCTAACATACAGCGATATGTCCCACATTCCTTTTTGTTTCTCCTTTTGGCCTTCGCCCACATAGACTCAACTCTTTGAGTGTGAGCACCAGTCTCTTGATTAAATTTTTGGAGTGATTTACTTTACAATGCCTGTAATCCTTTCCAATCATTCCTTCTATCCTACTATGGATCTTGGACTTCCATACCTTCGATTCCTCATTATTCACCAGGCCTAGCTCCAAGTGACTACCTCAGGATCAGTTTTTTAATAAAAAAACTCCAGACATTCTATGACCATGCATTTAGTGTAAAGATGGGAGGAAAAAGTCATATTAAAAGTCAATATATTGTAGATTAAAATAATTTTATGTCTATAATACATTGAGTTTTATTCCATCCTAAAAAACCGAAAGGACTTAATTATCAACCTCAATACTTAGCTGTATACATCTCCTGCCGTACCATTTCCACATTAAAACACCTATTTCCCCTAGAAACTCGTAGACTCCTGGTAACTTCCTTAATTTTTCAGACCTTGATTATTGCTGTACGGTATATGGGGGTGTCTCTGGGGATCTCGAGGCGAAATTAAAACTTTTGATAAATTGCTTTGTACGATTCATCTTCGGGATCTCAAGGGACGCCTCTGTTTCCCATTTTTATGCAGAGTTGAAGTGGCTTTATCCTTCCTATCGTCGTAAGTATTTCTTGGCATCCTTCCTCTTCCAAGTCATCCAATCCAAGTCCTTCATACATCTCCGAAATCCTCCAATTCAAATCCTCAGTTCCCGCAACAGTCGTTCCCGGTCTTCTGATTTATACTTAAGGACCCACCGAACCGCTGCTTTCGACAGATCTTTCATTATCCGATCCTCATGCCTATGGAACTCCATCCCTCCCGACGTCCGTCAATCCAAAACTCTTCCTACCTTTAAAATCCGCCTGTTCAAACATTTCTTATCCACCCAGTCCTCATGAAATTGTAAGTAATACTTTAAATATGTATATAAGTTATCAGATCGTTCCTCATTATTTTTACTTCATGTTTATTTTTAATTTTTTCATTTTATTATCTACTGATTTAAATTAGCAAGTAACTTATAATTTCTTTTATTATTTTTTTATTTTGTCTATTCACCTACTCTATATTTTTGTTTATGTATCTCTGAGGCTCCTTAGCCCACATTTTTGTCTTTCTGTATTATTCTAAAGCGACTCGTCCCAGAATAAATAAAGCATTATTATTATTATTATTATACCTTCACACTCCGTATATTATTATATATTTTTTTATCTATTAGTGATATATTTTCAGGTGAGCCAAAAGTATTTTGGGCTATTACCAAAATAAACGTCTACCCGGACGATACCCGAACATACGAGGTTATGCCACTGACGGGGAAGAAACCAGCAGAGCTTCCAGAGAAGTCTGATAGTGTATTTGTGCTCATTCCTCCTAAACCAGGCCAATTTGTCCCGTCCAATTTTGAATAAAGTTTATATATATAAAACAAATGTGTAGTATATATATAAATCGTAAATAGTTGAACATATAGGATAATGTAATGTAAAATCAGTGATATAGCCAAGACATAGCTAATTCAGGACATAGTTAAGAAACTTTTTATCTTTTTTGGCTTATGCCGCCGTAATTATTATAGTTATAAACTTCTCCAATTGACGTTTACAATTTATGGGAATACTTATTCTATTTAAAATTAAAAAGATATTCAGTTATAATCTCAGGCAGGTATTATCTCAATTAAAAAACGTCTGTCAAGTAAGCTCAGCATGGCTTCCTCACCATTTGCATTGGCTAAAAAATATTTATAGTACAAAGTCTAAATTTTTTCGTATGAGAATAAAATCTCTGGAAGAAGCCGTTTTAAGGAATTCAGTAATCCCTCAACATATACTGGTTTGATATCCACGAGTTTTGTTCATCAGCGAATACCGAAATGCTAAAAAGTTTTGCCTATGCAGATTGCATATTTGATGACTCGAGTTTAAGAAAAACGTGCGATTGAGTGCGTACCGAACATGAATATCACAACTGTTAGTGCAAAAAGTCGCATGTAAACATTGAGTGTTTTACAGTAAAGTATAAAAACTAATTGTTTTTATATAATTTATTAGTATAATTTATTGCCCTCCCACTCCATATGATCAGTGCCTTTCACATTTCACAGCCATTATATTGTTAACAGTTATTTATATTAATTTTAATTATTAAATGTAATTCAATGAAATTCATATTAGGAAATTTCTATACTATTCTCCAAATTACCTCCAAGTTTGGGTCAAATTGAACGCGCAGTTTTCAAACTACAGGCTTGCCAAATAATATGTTTGCTGATCTGAAAGCGAAAGTATTTTTTCTAGGAGAAGTGATAAAATTCATACCTGCTTGATTATCTATTTACCAATCACTAACTTGCATCCAAATTTGAGCCAAATCGAATATGCGGTTTTAGAGATATAGACGTATCAAGTTAAACACGTTAGCGCATATATAAGAGAAATTAGTTGACAGAATTCAATAAAATTGACATTACGTTATTTTTTCACCATTACCTACCTTTTATCTAACTTTGAGCCAAATCGAACGAGCCTGAAACGTTGGCATATCTAAATAAATATGTTTGCACGTTCGTAACGCGAAAGTGCCGAATGGAATTTGATAAAATTGATATGGGGCCATCTAGGCACCAATTGACAGAATTTCTGAAATAACTTCATGTAAATCGGATGAGCGGTACTAGGTGATATGCCCGTTACATCGATTGACTACAGACAGACAGACATCCTTGATGTCTGAAACGTAAAATGCGATTGGAAATTTTCGATTCTAAGCCAAAAAACTTGTTAACCTCTCGCACGAACACAATGCTTCCTAAATTTGGTAGTGAGGAAGCAAAAAATAAAAAAAAACACCTTTCTGCACTAATGATGGACACTCCGAAATTCAATTGTTCATGTAATAGACATACCTCAGAAAAATTCCAAAATCTTTATTCAACCATAAAGATAACGATAAACATAAGATAAATTCAAGTTACTCATAGCAAAACTGTTATTAGGAAGGTATGAAACACACTGATCTAAAGAGAACTATAGAAACAACAATGATAGGCATTTTAAAATTTTATTTTGGGAACTTTATTCATACAATTGTCAATAGAGGGCATTGTTCTTTAATCCAGAAAAAAACCTGAAACCTTTAAATCAACAAGCAAGCTTATTATTTACTTTTTTTTTATTATAGAAATTTACAACTGTATTAAATAACAAATACAACAAGCAACAGGACATGTAAAACATGAATAGAAACTACCCATTGGTAGCAATCATATCACATGACAAATATATATTATTGAAAAGCTTCTATTTCCTGTTTTTCCATCACCTAAGATGCATTATAAATTTTAATTTATAATCTACATAATTTATTATTTATTAACCAAACGAAAATGTTGAACATTAAATTAAATTTCCAATGAGTATTTTTTTTGGTAGCTTTCCATGAATATTATATTAATAGAGTGTGAATGTGATCTCTGAACGTCCTTATTATAAATGTCCTTTTCGACAGATTTTAATATTTTTAAATAAAGAAGCTAGAAAAAAAAAAGAAAAAATATATATGTTTGCGGAAATCGAATCAATGTTTAAATAATTTTTTTTGTAGCTCTTGAGATATGCTATCTCTCCTATAAAAAAAAATTCTCTACTTACGACGCACACACATATATATATATATATATATATATATATATATATATATATATATATATATATATATATATATTCCCTTTCTCGCAACCGAAGGTTTTTGTTTGTGCGGAAGATTGAAAGAAATTTGCTCAGTATTAATATTTCGACATGCGTTCTTTTTCCTTTTTTAAAAGAGTTTTTTGCATGTTAATTATTTACACCAACCTTTATAGGAACCAGAATTGAAAACTGTAACATTATAATTTATAAAAAATAAGGAAACAATCCATATAAATAAAATAAATAAATCTTTCCGTTTTATACATTACAGACACCAAATCCACTTTTAAACAATTTTTTATCTGGCTGTATGTCCGGACTGAAACGAAATTTTATAAGGGATAAGCTCTGCAATGGCTTATTGTAGACTTTTGAAATTTTGACATTATATTAAGGTTTGCTTGACTTAAAACATAGGCTGTAAATGAAAACAAAATATTGAGTAGAACCAAAGTTATCAATTCTTGAGTAATTTGTCTAGAGATCCCGGTCAGGCAGTTACTTCGATTCTCATCCCAACCTACTCTACTGCGAGCCATATTTAACAGTTGTATTGTTCAACTGATGGAAAAAATTATCAAAACTCAACGCGAAAAATCCGAAATACCAAACATCTGTAACGCGTTAAACACACTCATTTTTCAACTTTGCCCGATCTTCCCGTTCAAGGTGTCATTCTATTCAACTTCCCGAGCCTGAAAAATGTTGTCGTATAGATTTTTAGGATTAACCTAACAGATTAGCCGGAAATTGGAAGAAGATCTTCTAAAAATTAAAATTACCTCTCTCCCCTCAGCCAATGTTATTAACTCCTTCCACATAATACAATATCCATCCAAAAAAAAGATTCTCAAACTTGAACTATAGAATAGAATAGAAAATAATTTTATTTTGGGACGAAGTCCCTTTAGAATAACAAAAAAGTACAAAATTAAAGTATTATATCTGGCCTAAGTAAAAACAAACATAAAAAGTAAAATTAAAGAAAAAAAAAGTAAAGAAAATATTAGTTAAACATACTATGTACAAAATAAAAAAAATCTATATACAAAACACTTGAAACCATGCCAAGACACTTAAAACTATGTACAGTGGTAAAATAGAAGTATACACTAAAAAAAAAAATAATAATAAAATAAAAAAAAATATAAAAAAAATACATTATATTCTTCTTAACAATAAATTCTGTGTTTCTACATTAAAAAAAAAGGAAAAGAAGAAAAATCTGATAGTAAGAATTTAAATAATGAATTATATGTAACTATATCACTATATGAAGCATTTGGAATAATATGTAAATTTACATAGAAGGTTGGCGGGGAGTGTCTGACTGTTAGAAATTGGAAAATTTTTGGGATAGAAATTGGAATAAGTGGGTTTTAAATGTAGATAGGGTGAGAGAGTGCCGAATTTTGGTAGGAAGGTAATTCGAGAAATTAACATAGGAAGCAATAAACGAGTTTTGGAACGAGGCAGATCTGTGAGAAGGAATGTAAGGGTCGGAAGGTCGAGATCTTGTGGAGAGTGAGTGGATTGAGGACTTGAATTGGAGAAGGTTGTAGTCGTAAGAAGGACGATGATTGTTGATGATTTGATAGAGGAACGTACCTAGGAAATATTGTCTTGAAATGGAGGGGAAGAGCCACTTTAACTCAGTGTAATGGTGAGACATTTAGGAGTATCTCTCGGTTCACCAATACTATACACTATACACCCCTCAACGATGGGTACATCAACTAATCTATATATATAAAAATGAATGTATGTCTGTCTGTCCGTCTGTTAGTCCTTAGTGCATTACTAAGCCATTCAACCGATCGCCATGAAACTTTGGGAAGTTGTTCCGTACACTCCTGGGAAGGTTTCTGGCATAGTACTTCTGTCTTATGATAATTTTATGTATGTAAAAAAATAAAAGTGTAAATGTTTTTCTGTACAAAGCCGCAAAAAATGTGTCGCTATAAACTGTTGTGCCAACGAAACTTGGCTAAAGTCTACCCCTTGAAACCCTTTTAATTTGTGTGTATAACATACTTTCCCGAAAACAAGCTGAAAAATGTTAAGATAAAGTCAATATTTTATTTGACGATAACTAACAAAGTACACAATTTTTGACGGATAATACCCATATTTGAAAGATTTCTGAATCGCTGACAAAATAAAAAAAATCATCGAAATCGGACGGTTCGTTGCAGAGTTATTGAATTTTAAACATTTACTGCTTTCTCTTCAGAAAAGGCCGTTTTCCTTTTGCTTCCTCACTACCGAACGTCGGCAAGCATTTTTTTTATTTTTTTTTTTTTTTATTGATTAATCGAAAGTTTTATAATTACTACAGTAATTGAAATTATCATTTGAAGAATTTATATGATTCTCCTTATGTAGGTCAATACTATTATACGTTTTTTTATTAATTTTTTAATTTAGTTTTATAAGTTCAACTCAGACTGTTTCTGATGATTATGAATGACGGCGTATTCACTCAGATGATTATGAATGTTCAATTTGAATCATGAGAAAAAAAACATTAGAATTAGTTTAAATTGAAGCCATTTTACAGACAAATTTGTTTCCCAACTTTTTAAAAATGACAGATGTCCTTTGCTACTAATCTACTCATATGTGCTTTCTGTTTTCTTTCTTTTTCATTTTGCCAGGCTAAGCCACAGCAGCGCGTGGCCGGGTAAAGCTAGTATAATATAAAATTATTATAATTTATAAAAACCCAAATATTATTCATCTATTTTAAAAAGCCGTAGTCATGAGGAAAATTTACGTGTCCTATCTATTGTTTAGGGGGGTCATTATAATATTAATAGATAACAAACAGAAAATATGTCTTGTGCCTACTATTGTCAACCGGGTACAATAGTATCGAGCAGCGATATTAGCATTTAAAGGATGTCATGTCGGAAGGCACCAAACTCCACTGCCATCAGTATATTAATGAGCCCTTGATATCGCCGGTCCACTTCCGCCATGATCCTCAGCACCAAAGAGTTCTGGGCGACCTTCCTGGCCTTCCTGAGGCTGCACTTCCCGGAACAGCTGGACGAAGGACTGAGGACGCCCAACACGCGACAAGAGGACGTCGCTGCGGAGTACGACTTCATCATAGCCGGAGCTGGCTCTGCGGGTAATGTAGGAGTTTCTTAGAAATAACTGACACGGATTTCTGGTCAACGATTGCAAGGAATCTTTTTTTGGTGATACTAGGTCGAAAAAGGTTAGACCCATGTCCGAGGCTTTTTTTATTGATGTGAATCCTTAACCATTCCTATAAGAATATTTAATGGGGTTCGGATGTGAATATCGTGTATAATATTTACAATATGGTTTATATAAAAAAAATATATTACTTGTTATGAAATGTGTTACTTACCTAAAGATACTTAAAAGTAATGGTGCTTACAATATATTATTCATAAAATATATTATATATCATTATATAAATAGGCAAACACAACACTTCAGCCCCTTTTACTCCTCTATTATTCAACCGATTTTCTTTCTTCTTTTTTTGTTTGATAGATATTGAGGAGCTGTAGTGTTATCAATAAATAAAAATATGAAATAGTTTGTAAATAAATATATAAATGGTAGTTTGTTCAAAACAGCTAATCTCCGAAAGTTCTTCACCGATTTCTTTGAAATTTTGACACAACGTCTCAATAATATTTAAAAGTGTTTTTTTATACGTTTCATTATCATCGGGCCTTTCCTTTCGAAATGGCGGCCGAAAAACGTGATTCGCTTTAGACTGTAGCGCCAATACGGCTTTAACGATTTTAATGAAACTTGGCTAAAGTCTTCCCCTTGAAACATTTATAATTTATGTATATAACATACTTTCCCGAAAACAAGCTGCATACATTTTTATGATGAATTCAGTATTTTATTTGCGAATAACTCAAAAAGTACACATTTTTTTATTGATAATACCAATATTTTTTGAAAGCTTCCTGAATTCCCTACAAAATAAAAAAAAATCATCGAAATCGGACTATTTGTTGCAGAGATATATCATTTCAAACATTTAGTACTTTTTCTTTTGCAAAGTCGATTTCCTCTATTTTGGTTTTTGATAAATCGAAAACTTTACATTTAATGAAGTGATCGGGACTATTATTTGAAGAGATGATATCATGGAATGTTACCTCATAAATTAAATTTAAAAATAAATTCTATAGTTATACTCATTCTTAACTTAAATACTGCACAAGCAGTAGTTAATGGAACACGAATGAGAGTGAAGTACTGACGGGAGCTACTTTAAATAAAAGAATTTTAATTCCAAGAATTAATTTAATATTTTCTGACACAATACTTCCATTCGAATTTCAAAGAACAACGTTCTTATTAATAGCTGCATTTGCTATGACCATAATCAAATCGCAGGGTCAAACTTTTGAAAAAATTGTGTATTATTGCGACGTCCAGTAATTTCGCATGGACAATTATATGTAGCAGCAAGTAGAGCACGTTAAAATTAAAATTTTGAAATTTATATTTCCAATGGCAATGGTCAAGGCTATGTACTAAACAATAACAGAACATTGTTTTCAGAGAATTTCTGCATAAAAATGGATTTAAACTCAGTTGAAATTGCTAATTTAAATTTATTTTTTACTTGCTTAATCATAACATTAATTTATTGTGATAATAACACACATAAATTAAAATGGAAATTAAATATTTTGAATGAGTCTATTTTGTATTACTTATAAATAATTTTAAGTAGTTTAAGCTCGATTTTTAATTGAAATTGAAATTTTGTTTATATTAATAAATGAGGATTTTTGAATCGTGATTTACTCTTTATTTATTGAATTTATTTTTAATTTAATTATGTTTTCCTAAAATTTTTAATGGCTATGGTCGAATTTCGACAACTGGGCGACCACTACTAAATATAAATAAATAACAGTATAAAATATATAAGTCTAAGCTACACTAAGTATAAAACATTACTTTTTTAATTGTTATCCTCAAAAGTTTATTCAATAAAAGTTCTACGCTCAAATGTTTTGTCAATACATTTTCAATAACATTTTATCAAATGTTCTACGAAAACATATATATATACTTAGTTTATATAGACTTAGACTTATGTATTTTATACTGTTATTTATTTTATTTAATCATCCATTATTTAATTTTCTCTTTGTAATATAATAAGTACCATTCCTTTTAAGTATCTTTAGCCAACACATTTGTTAACAAGTTATATTTAAAAAAAAAAGATCTAGTGTGTCCACTCACACGACTTTCCTATATATTTCAGAAAATTTCTTATATCTTTACATATGTCCATAAGAAACAAAAAAAATAAATTAGATTTAATTTCCTGAATAAAATTGAAAATTGAAATTAAAAATTGATCAAAGAAATATTTGTGTCAATTAAAATTCCAGGAATCAGTATTCAAAACCCTACAAAATAAAAAAAGAAGCAACAAAATCAGTTCTCTAGTTCCCGAAAAGAGCTTGGCACAGACAGACCAATAGCTAAAAATGTGTTTTTCGAACTCAGGAGGCTCTGAAACGTATAGATCCGTCGAAAACCGCATATCGGAAATTTTACCCGATCGTAATACTTTCCTTACCTTGTATAGGTAGGAAAGTAAAAATTGTCACGGCTCCTAGGACGCATTGATAAGAACTCTCGGATATGGGTCTAATATTATATTTTGGTGATACTAGGTAAAAATATATTAGTAATATATTTTTACCTAGTATCACCAAAATAAAGTTCCATTGAGATCGATGACCCAACGTCCGTGATCTCCGCATATGAATTAGAGAAATACATCTGAATAAGTAATGTTTCCTCAGGTTGTGTCTTGGCAAACAGGCTGTCCGAAAACCCGGGTTGGAAGGTTCTTCTCATAGAGGCAGGTTGGAGGGATGACTACGTTTCGGACACTCCGTTTCTCGCGGAGTTCCTCGGCAACACGGAGAAAGACTGGAACTACACAACTGTGAAGCAGGAGCGGGCATGTTTAAGTGAGTAGTCGATGTAGTCTGAAAGTCTTTTAATATACATAAGTGTGGTAAATACTGGTAATGTTAACATGTTGGTTCAATTCTATACGATTAAGTTTCTTAGCCAAAGCAAACTCATCCAAAAAAATGGTCCAGAAAGTTATCCTGTGTGAAAATTGTTGAAACTTTTTTATTGATTAGTTTAAGATTCTGAAACAATATATATAATGACAATAAAGTGCATTCACACCATACAGACCATGTAGATCTTTTACCGCCTTAACAAGCCTGCTCCATCTCTGCCTGTCTTGGGCTATTTCTTTCCATTTATCTTCACGCAGATCTATTGTATCTTTGTTTCATTCTATATATCCATCTATTTCTTGTCCTTCCACGTGATCTTTTGCCTTCTATTGAGGCACTCATTGTTACGTAGAGGGTTCCAGATGCCCGCCCATCATAACCTCCGTGCCTTCATATCATGGGATATTGATTAACCAGTTTCTGTAAGCAGTTCTTTATTGGCCTTTCTTCTCCATGTGTTAGTACTCTGATCCCAGATCGCCCCGTTATCGTGTGGAGGATTTTCCTCTCAAATTTTTCAACACTTTTTCCAGAGTTCTGGTTAGTGTCCAGGTCTCACAGCCATATATTAAAACTGGCTTTATCATAGCATTGGACACCCTTAGTTAGAGATTCCTGAGATTTTTTGGGATTTCAATACCTTTGAGAGGGAGAAGAAAGCTCTGTTTGCGCTGCCCGTTGGTCATTCATTGAGCCGAAGTATTTTAATTTCCAACATTTAATAAAGTTAAATTTAAATAAAATCCTGAGGACTTATAAATCTTTTGTAAACACGGAACAGGAGTAGAAAAAAATAAAATCTTCGCAAAAATTAAACCTAAAAATTTCATTATTGTCCAGGTGTCCAGGACTGTTTTCTTGTAGAACATTTTGTCCTTATTACGATTGTGGGCTTAGAATTTAAACATCTTGTCTAGTTTTGGAGCAATTCCTTCTAAAAAACATGACAAAAGCTATTAATTATATAAGTAAAACTGAAATTAGAGATAATTAATATAATTTTGTTTCTTGAAATATTCTAAACAAAATCTCAAATCATAAAAATCATTGATAGTTTTCACTATTTTCAAAAAATAGAATAAATGTGTGGTTTCAGGTACGGAGGGGACGTGCAGAGCTCCTAAAGGAAGGGTGATCGGTGGCTGCAGTACCATCAACTGGATGATCTACAACAGGGGCAACAGGGAAGACTACGACGAATGGGAGCGCCTCGGCAATCACGGTTGGGGCTACGAACAGGTTCTGCCGTACTTCAAGAAAGCAGAGAACATGACTGAAGAATGCTTGCTGGGTTCGAACACGCACAGTTCAAGCGGACCTCTAAACGTCCAATATCCAAGGTACGTGACCCCACTGAGGAGGGACTACGTCAGGGCAGGCGAAGAGATCGGGTGGCGATTCACCGACTATAACGCCGGCGAACAGAGGAACGTCATCGACTACCTTCAGTACACCATGAACGGACCCCTTCGCGAGAGTACCGTCAAAGCCTATCTAGACCCGATCAGGTCCAGGAAGAACGTAGACATAATAATGGACTCGATGGTCAGCAGAGTTCTCATTGAAGACAATGTCGCAAGAGGAGTAGAATACTACAGGGATGGGAAGGCATACAAAGTATTCGCGAAAAAAGAAGTAATATTATCGACAGGAGCGATAGAGACACCAAAACTTCTGATGTTGTCGGGAATCGGACCCAGTCAGGAACTCAAGAAACACGACATTGGTGTATTGGTGGACTTGCCAGTCGGGAAATATTACCAAGACCATATCAACATACCAATTTATTTCGAAGTCAATGAACTCGCTGAGACTGTGACTGAAAGTATTTGGAAAACTAACGAGAGCATAATGGCGTTTGCGAAAGACAAAGATGGGCCCTTGACGATGGCTCCCGGAGGAACTGAAGCGACATCTTTCTTTAATCCTCTAGAAAAGGGACCGCCTTCCGTGCAGACGATCTACTGCAGTGCTGCCCCCTCGAATAATTTGGGAGACAAAAAAATCATCAAAGCATGGGTTGTCAACATCCAACCACTCAGTGTTGGAGAGATCAGGCTGAAGAGCGGAGACTTCAGGAATCCTCCGCTTCTTGATCCTAACCTCTTTCGCGATGAGACTGACAAGAAGGTTCTGGAGAAAGGCATCGAAAGACTGTTCGAGTTTATGAACTCAGAGACCATGTCCAAGTACTCTCCTAAACTGTACACGGAACACGTCCAGCCGAAATGTCATGGCAAAGAAGGGTCTGAGTACATCGGCTGTGCTATTGCCGAATATTCGGAACTGACAGACCGTCCTTTCGGGACAGCACGGATGGGACCTAGAGGAAGCGATGCCGTCGTATCCTCGGCAGATCTAACCGTTCGAGGTCTCAGGCAGCTGAGGGTAGTCGATGCTTCCGTCATGCCGAAGAACCCAGGCGCCAACACGAACGCTCCGGTTATAATGATAGCAGAGAAAGCAGCGGACATCATCAGAAGTTATTATCAGGAATACCGAAGCTGCGATGAAATTATTGAAGAGACAGAAAATCATGAAGAAACCACAACCAATAGACCTAAACCACCTAGCTTTGCCTTTAATCATCCCAGTCGTAAACCAAATATATTCAACAACTTTTACAACCAACTGCAAAATATGATGAAACCAAAATTACATGATTAATTGTTATCATCATTATCAAATTTTGTATATAATTAGAATAAATTTTTATTTTTAAAAATCTGTTACGGCGAGCATCACACAACTTTTATTTTCTAACCTAATTAAGTTTTATTATCTCTGCTTCTGCTACTTTATTTTTCTAACTTAGCTATCGTTATTTTTTATTTTCTTTATTTATATTTCATATTTCTACCTCTTCAAATATTTATTAGTGTTAAGTTTACTCTACCTACATTTTATTAGACTTGCGAGTTATGAATGGTTCAAATCTATATTATTATTGATGGAAAAAACCCCGCTGAAATATTTGGACGTTAGGAATTTATCGTTAAGTTGAAGGGATAAAATAGAGGGGAAAAAAGTCAAATTTGGTTTTGTTTAAAATGTTTAAGATTTTAACCATATGATTAACCAATCATTAGAAGAAGAAAAAATGGTCAACTGAGAATATTAAATTTAAAAAAAAAAAATTTAAAGATGTATATATATATATTCCAAAATTTGTTTAATCGACCTTTGAGTATTATATTTTAACATAATTATTTAAATTGGAAATTAGTTTACTCAATAATTATTCAATAAACTACAAAATGTTCATTGATCCTGCTATTTATTTTTATTATTATTTTTTTTTTAACAATGGAATTCTCTTCAGTGTTTTAAAGTAGAGCCTCGACACCTCAGGCCAGGGACACATCAACAACCTCAGCACCGTCCACTAGCACAGATATTCAGCAACTTAAATTTAATACAATAGCTTAATATCTGTGCTAGTGGACGGTGCTGAGGTTGTTGTTGTGTCCCTGGCCTGAGGTATCGAGGCTCTACTTTAAAACATTGAAGAGGATGCCATTGTTAAAAAAAAAATAATAATAAAAATAAACAGCAGGATCAATTACCATTTTGTAGTTTATTGAATAATTATTGAGTGACCTAATCCCCAATTTAAATAATTATGTTAAAATATATATATAAGTGTATGTCATATCTAGTATGTATAATTAAAATATTAATGATACGAGATATTTTGGGAATCTCTGCGTAGCATTTGGACAATTATTCGCTTGCTTGTGAGATCTGGAGGCTATGTTACCCAGGAATTATTTAATTTTATAGTGTGTGTACCACCAATTGTAGGTAAATTAAATTGTAAATTAAATTACATGAATGTAAACTTTTATACATTTTCTTGTATATTCTACCAAATAAACAATATAATAAGTGTACGTTGCTGATTGAAGTAGATTAAAAGTGTCTAAAATAGCCTAAATTTGGGGGGAGAGAAGAAACCATCATTAAATACCTTCTTTATTGCACTACATTGTTATACATAGGTGATTAGACTTCCCATTATTATTGGGGGAAGGGGAGGGCGATGGACAAAAAAAAAATGCTAGTAGTTCATATTATGTATACAAATTCAACATACTTATTGTGAAAGGGACAAATATAATGTTGGATATTGGTTAAATTAATGTATATATATATATATATATATATATGTTTAGACAGTTGAATGAATTTTTTTTCTTGCTAATAATAGTTGAAAATATCTGAACAAAACAATTGGATTTATTGCAATAGGTATACATTAAACAAGAGAGGAAGGGGAACTGCCTCTATAACATAGGTAGATTTCTAGAACTTTTTCAGCTAAAAATGAATAATTTTAATTTAATTAATCTCGATTTGTTTTTAGGGAAGAACTCTATACAAATGGAGTCCATCACAAAATTACGAAGATTATAATCCTTATGGAAATGCAAATGTATTCCTTATATATAAATATATACTACATTACAGACATAAAACACTCTTAAGGATAAATTAAAAATCATATTAGCTAAAAATCACTGTTAAAATAGTTCCAATTATCATATTAATAAAAAATCTAATTATCAACAATATACATACAATAACAATAAATGCATTCTTTTTAATATTAATATTAAACCATGTTTTTTTTAAAATTAAATTAAAAGATTATCCTATACCTAAGAGAACAACCAACAAAAATACCCGAATAGATTACATGGCAATGTGCAATATGGAATTTTTGCCATAATCTGCAGAGGACAATATTCCAAATTACCAATTCTCTATAATTTGATTTAATTGAGATAAAAAATATATATAATTTTCTCATATCTTCTGCAGTGGTTGACTTAAATATTTCTATCCCATCAAGATTTCCCATACTCTGGTAAATTCTTAACATTAAACTACTGTAAATCGGGCATTTAAATAATATATGATGAAGTGCTTCGTTTTCTCTTGTACATTTTGCTCTCAAGTTGTGGAGTAATTTTCACAATTTTATTATTAACAGAAATCTTGATTATATATTTTCCCGAGAGTTGGATCTGCATTAATAGTTTCATATATTTGAAATTAGTCAGTATCAACAAATACTATGGGATCTGATCATTACTAAGAAAAAGGTTTAAATGTTCACTATAAGATGAGCTATGCAATGTTATCCTGTCTCCGTCCTGCAAATATTGTTTGTATTTATTTAATAACCTGTTAATATTTGTTCTAATTATAGCTGAGTTGGTTTCATAAACTAGATTGCCTTCCTTAATAGTATCTAACAATACTTTTTAGCTGAGAACACAATTATACAAAAAATTAGTAATGTTAAAAACCGAAATATACTTTTGATTTCTTAGTTTGTACAACCTTCCAATAAAAATAAAACGTATTCACATTCTGACTATGTAAAAATGTCTATAAAAACATTTTCTATAAAATATATTTATACTTTAATTTATTAAATATATTTTTCCAACTTTATTGTGTAAAATTTATAAGAAAAGCACATGAAAATAAAGGTACTAACATAAAAGATGAATAAATCATAAAATCCAAGGATATATTTCTATATTATTATTCCTGAATATGAATACAAAATTTAAATAATAGGAATATTCATCTCGTTTAGCCAGCTAGTCGACTTTGCTTAATCGATTTTGGTTTTCATATTTTATTCATTCATTTATCGATTTTTTTATTAATTTTAATTGTTTTTTATTTCTAATTATGGGGAAAGGGGAAAACGATATTCTCGTCTCTCAAAAATTTTTATAGTTCTCGTCCCTCCCCCGAAGTCTGTACCTATGATACGAACAGACCAATGGGTGAAAATGCGTTTTCTGGATTCATTTGAAGCATACTGATCCGTTGAAAACCGTACATCGAAAATAAGGAAAGTACAAAACAAATAGTCCGTGGTACAGACCCCTTTTTATCAAATTATTAACATCCGGCTGAAACTACATAAACAGCTTCATCTCATCGTAACCTACAAATATTTTAGATCTCTGTTTTACATTTTATTCTAAGATTCCCATTTCAATACTTATGTCACCTTTTTTGATTACGTTTACTTCATCATTCCACACTTTGTAACGGTTATTATTATTTATCTCTTATTTCTTACTATTGTCATTATTCTAACTACTGCATTTTTTTCCCTACACTACTTATGTTTCTTATACCTTGTTATCCGGTTCTTTTCTTAGCCCTGATGATGACCTGAACAGGTCGAAACGTCGCCTAATGTCAAAATAAATATTATCATTTATTTTTGCCTTCTTATTTGACTGATCACCCCAACTATTCTTCTCTTCATTATTCACGACAGTCAACCATTAACCCACAATTACAAATATTTTACTTACATCGGAATTTAGACGTTTTCATTTTTGAGGTCGGCAAACTTTGTCTATTTAATTAGGTGCAAAAAACTTCTAAATGCCCATTTGCTTTCCACTTTAATCTTAAGATAACTTAGATAGCACAAAGTCGAGAAAAAATGAGGCCTTTAAAAATATTCAGCCTTTTGGCCTATATGACCTCGTTATTTTGACAATTTGGTGGTGTAGGTCACGCCAAACGGCTCAATATGTTTGAAGGCCACCTTTTGTCTCGACTTTACGATTAAAGTGTGTAACCAAGATTAAGGAATTATTGGAAATAAAACAAAAAAAAACTCTTCCCTCTTTTGTTTCCTGTGCCTGATTATTTATTCATATTTTAGCATGTGCATGTGCTCTTACATCTTATATCTCTTGTATCTTGACTATCTTTTCTTGATGTTTAGATGTGGCATGCCATACTATTTATTGTATATAGAATAAGTATCTTTTTTTGTTATTTTTATTATCTTAAATATTTTCCTATTTATCTTTATTTGTATATAGTAATTATGTTTAAATTCTCTCCTTTTCCTTTTAGTTTATTTCTTTTTATTGTACATAGTATTAATTCTGTAAATATTTCTTTCTATAAATAGATCTGTTAACCTATTTTAGCTGCTTTATAAAAATATCCAACCTAACCCCTTCTCACCTGAGCTAGCATGGTAGAGTAAATATTTAATGATGGTCAAATAATGGGTAAGTACCTCATATTTTCTAGATTTATCTCTATAAAGATGAAAGGCTGGTAAGCCAGGCGCCCAACAAATAAAAATTCCTATGGAAAATTATATTTATTAAAAATTATTTAATTATATTTTTATTTATCCTTTTATTGGTCATAAGTGAAAAGCAAATGGGTATTAACGAATTTTTAGTACTTAATTAAATAGACAAAGTTCGCCAACCTTAATATTGAAAACGCCCTAATTCCGAGAATTTTCGTAAATAAAATATTTGTAGGTTACGATGAAATGAAAATACTCATGCAGTTTCAGCCGGATGTTAATAATATGATAAAACGGGGTCTGTAAACAAATTGGCCCATTATATAATACGTAAAGTGGGAAAAAGAATTAATTATTATAAATATTATTAAGAGGTTTGCCTCGGGATCAAAACTCAACCGGGCGAATAAGAGAGAAGCGAGCATACTTTATCTAAATAGTTTTTTAATGACTCAACGAATGTACGAACGCGCTATTTGTTTTCACTGGTACTTTATTCACGTCAGGGTTTTGTTTGGAATTTTCCAATTACATCTTAAACGAATTTATTTATTTTTTTCTGAATGAAGCA